TTGACTGTTTTAAACTACTCGAACTTAAAATGTATCATTAATATGATTTTCACTGTTGAAATATACAATTGATTTGTTTTACCACACCGATTTTTTAAATGTAAGTAAATAATTAAATATCATCTGTATCTTTCAGCTTTAGCTTGTGGTTACGATCATCTATATTTTGCAGACGAATCCTAGAAGACAATTGAACACGTATGTATAAAATCAGTACAGTGTACAGTTTCTGCTTCTATTCGTTTGTAATAACTAGTGCTCGGAATTTGGGTGCTATTTGAGACGATATCACTAGTATGGATATGACGATATTGCCGGGATTCCGGTAATTATGGTAAGGCTTAATATATTTGATATTATTTTAAATGTGTGGAGATCGCGTTTGTTTAAGGAGTACGCTTATTTATTAGTATTTAGATTTAGAAGCGTTTAGATTTAAAAAATAGAGACTTAAAAAGGAATAGATAGGGTCATCCTTAAAAGTGCAATAGCAAATAATTAAAACATTCTAAACTACTAATGAAATTGATTTTAATTTTATGAATAAAAGACCTCGATTAGATAGAATATCTTTCTTTTAACAATAGATTAATATTCTTAGCGAAATTATGGCGTCCGATTTACATCCATAAATAAACAATCCAATAAGTCTCATTGAAAAATATTTTCGTATGGGTTAGTAGGCTAAAAACTCCTGAAATAGTTAAAGGCGGCCGGCGGTGCACGTTCTTTACGGATAAGAGAGTAGATATTTGCCGTCGAGTACGAGAGAAATGGCGAGCGTTCCTTCTCCATGCAAGGGAAAGAAACAGCGGCTATGCGCCGACGTCTTCAAAGAAGTGCAACCGGTGCAATAACGAAAACTATCTTTTAACTCTTTCTGTTTCTTGGTGAGGCTTATGTCGGGTGTCATTGGCTTATTTCGGTTTTTCTAGTGCTCTTTGTATCTGTGAGCTTTGTGCGACCAATTTATCTATTTGACCTGGCTATCTGTTGGATTTTGTTTGGACATCTCTACTTGTGACATTTTGGCTTGGATTAACGGACGAAAATTAACTTTGGGTAAGTCGAGTTTTTTATTTTTAACATTAAAAAACGGGTATGAAGATAATGTAGATGTCAATGCAAAGCGGTAGTCCTGGATACTTTTTTTTTCCTTTCCCATAAAAAACGATTGACCGTTTTGATTCGTTTCATATAGAGAAAACTTTTGCAAATTTTCACAAATCGTAGTGGTAGGTTTGTTCACATGAAAATGTATATATTGTATTGTTTTGTTGTATTTGAAATGACAATTTTTGGTTATATTGTGAAGCAAGACAAGTAAATGTTGAAGTAATTTCAAGTAAGTCTGTGTATATGGCAGTAGGGTAATTCCTAGGCTAAAAGTCTACCCTGGTCTCTGAAAGACTTGTGCTCTATTCAAAACAGTATTTACTGCGTTTACTTACAGCATATTGGCTGTTTATTTTTTCTTTTAAATCTACATAGTTCAACACTTGATTTGGATAAACGGACTACGATTTTTAACTGGTTGGACATCTGACAGCAAATTATTGTTTGGGTAAGTAAAGATTTTTTGTGGAAAATTATAACGAACGAGATAATATTTACGGCAACGGAGCATACTACAACTTTAAATATATGTATATTTATTAGGGTAAAATAGTTAAAATACTGAATTTTAAAACAGATTACACACACTACGACCGATTGAATTGAATGCGTTGTTTGCTAAATGACGTCATTCCAAATTCAAAGTGGTGGAACGCCCAAAATGGCGGAGCAGTTATTTTTTATGCAATCTCATGATATAGATATTAAAACACTAGCTTTTATTATTTTTCATATTTTATGTACATTGATATTTTAACAAAAAAAGAATCTGTTAGTTAGACCGTGATTTATGTGAGGTACAAGACATAATTAACCTCGATTCTTTCAGATGTAGGTAGTGTCAACAAGCCCAGATCGTTTCGAAGCTTATGGTTCGGCTTCAACAAGTTATTTGTTAACTAATATCTATTGTTTTATAGGTATCGAAGACATGACAAATGTGAGGCATGAAACTACCCAGAAGTGGATGGCTGACCCAGAACTGACATTTGACCCAATTGACAAATGCAATATTTTGCACCAAGTGTAACGTCGACTTTAAAAGTAAGAAGTCTATTATTCAAAAGCACGTCAACAGTAAATTGCATAACGACAGGAGAGTAACGGACCATTTTTATTTCTATCTAATATTTTTTTTGTCTTTTGTAATATTCCCTGGACACATTTCTTTGAAAAATATTTTTGTAAATTTAGTTGCTGTAGATATAATAGCGATATGAAATCGTTTCCTGACGAATCTCTATTAAGAAAAGTTTATTTAGATAAAGTTTTTAATTCTAAAATTATATCCATTCATGACAAAAATTACAAATGAGAAATTGTGGATAGCTTTGGACGAGACAACAGATTTTCTGGGTAGAAATATAATGAACTTATTGGTTAGGCCCCTAAAAGAAAATGAAGACTATAAATCACATCTACTTACTTGTAAAGTAGTCGAACAAGTCAATGGCCCAATTTGTAATGGACTCCCTTGAATCTCTGTGGTCTAATTCTTTTGAATTCCAGGTCAAGGTACAAAAAAATTTAATTTTATGCACAGACAGTGTGTCTTATATAACATGTTGGCTATTGGTAGACGATTTAAATAATTTTTTTCTGCTATGAAACATGTGACATATTTGACTTATGCACTTTACAGGGTATCAGAGCAAGTGAGACTGGAGTATCCAGACGTTGTTTTAATATTAAAAGTAAAAAAAGTATTTTTAAAGGCCCCAAATATAGTCAGAACTTTAATTAAAAATACCCTGATTTGACCACCACAGCTAGTAATTATAAGATGGGGCCACCTGGTTAGAGCATCGTACTACGCCAAACATTTCACTCAAAAAAAAGACTTGCTTTCCCATTTAAATAATTCAGAATCCTTAGCAATAGGATATGCAAAAAATTAGTAAATAAAGAAAACTTTAACAGAACAATTTAAACGAAATGTATGCTTATTAAAGGAATTTTAAAATGATCTATACTTGAATTAGAAAAAAAGTTGTATAAGGATCAGTGACGCATTTCTTGCATTCGAAAATGTAAAAAATGTATTAAATTGAAAAGCATCTGAAAGTAAAAATAAAAAAAATTGGAAAGGAATCCTGACTTAGAAATTATTCAAGATTATTCTACAAATCCCTACAAAGGCCTATGTCCAGCAGTGGACTAGTAAAGGCTGTTGATGTGATTCTACAAGTATGAATTATGAATGACATAAAGTATTACAAATTTTCACCATTAACGTCTTCAGATGTTGAACGATCTTTTTCAATTTATAAATGGATCGTACATGTATGTCAAAAGAAATAGACTGAGTGTCGAAAATATAGAAAAAATCACGGTATTCTATTTCGATTCCGCTAATCGTAGCTAACCTTCCGATGAACAATCTTTAAATATCTGAAACTAAAGTAGCGGCACGCTATGATGACCATTTGGTGACTACTTCTGTCCTCTCATCAAGTTTCGTTTTAATTAATAATTACGTTGAAGGAGCATATTGCTGTACTTTATTGTATTCGTCAAGTTTCGCATTTAATTAATACCTACGTGCCGCTAATTTAAGTAATTTTAGATATTCCAAAGTTTTGCATTGGAAATTTACCTACTACACAATACTTTGTCAAAAGTCTAACCCAATTTCGTACCAAACTATTTTTTTCTAGACCAAACCGATTCATCCTACATTATGAATGTCAAGATATACTAGTGTAGCTTAGAAAATCTAGTCAATAAACTGGTTTGGCTTCAACAAACTAGTTTGACCTGATATTGGGTTTGCCCAGCAACATTATATTGTTTTAGATTGCTTGTTGTTGGTTTTTTTTTTAAATTGTTAATCATGTCAAGTAAAAAAAATTGGTTGCCTGTAAAGTCGGTATACGGGCGAAAGTTTTACGTGACAACGACTTTGAGTGGTAAAATAATTTTAATGTGAATATTCATTCGTATAGTAGGAAGAAGGATGAAATAATAGTAACAATTTAAAACATTTATTTATACAAAGAATTATATTTAAAACATTAATTTATACAAAGAATCTCGCACTGAATTTCATATTAACAAAATTTTATTTTTACCTTTACACATACGACGCGTGCCTCTCACTCGCTCTCATTGTGAGCGCATAACGTGAGCGGAGCGTAACGCAGTTTCTTGAAGTGTCACCCGGCAAACCAATTTATAAGACGTTGTCACGTCAAAAAAGGTTTGTTTTAAAATACAATAAAAAAACAACTAATAATTATACAATTTTCTAGAAAAATCACATGCTTCATTTTACTTTGAGCTCCTATCAAACAAACTCTGAATAATTAAAAATCTAAAATACATATAATTTTTTCTTTAATATAATAATAATATTTAGACAATGCACTGTCCAAATATATTAAAAACGAATGTTCGTATCTTTTTCAAAACCGACATTATTCTACGATCATGACGAAATGATTGTTTCATTTACTTATAAAAAATCCTGACATATGTATATATTTTTGTCGCATGAAGTATGAATTATATAGAAAAAAAAACGTTTTATAGTCAAAAAAAAAAAACATAAAAATCATTTTCATTCAGAATTCTAATTCCCGCAAAATTTTTGGTCCAAGTACCTATTCCCGGGAATTTATGATCATATCTATACTTTTGTTCCTTGTACTTTTCTAACTGTTGTGTGTGTAACTGTGTTATATTTAGCCTCATTTTGTTTTGTTATGATAATAAGCGATTATTATAATCTTTTATATGAGGGTGTTGATGGGGGTGTAATGTCTAATTATTGAATATATGTATATTATATATTCTCTCACTCAACCATTTTAGGAAAAATTGCAATCATCAAGGAATGAAATAAAACATTAGGTGTAAAAAAAAACAGCATCCATATAAGTAATTTAATTAAAGAACAAGTCCACAAAAGATCCAATGATATCCGAGGCTACGTTTGATTGCTTAGCTCTTGGACGTCGTTTATTGTATGTATCATCGCCTGAAAATCCAATAGGTGTGCTAGGTTTTTTTAGTGATGTCACTCTTTCGTTAGAAAAAGTGGGTACAACTGGAGGAAAACCAACAACTTGCCCAAGAATCCCTCCAACTAAACCTGGTGTGTATATCGCTTGAGGGTTATCATCTGTGTTTTCGTGGACAGGTTTAATAGGAGCTGTAAAAATGAAAATAGAGGAGAAATTAAATATCTTTTTTTTTTAACAACACCAATCTTGACCTAGGAGTGATTCCTGTTTAGTGATTTACTTTATATACTCAAAAACGAACACGACGAACACCTAGACGTGGATTACACAAATGTTTATCCTAGATGGGAATCGAATCGACAATACTCCGCGTAGTATACTGGCGAGGCAACCGATTTAAACATTGCGCCATGTGTCATAATAATTAATTGTCTCATTTTTAATTGATTGTAAAATGGAAAGTAAATAATAGCGGATGGCCACTAATTCATATTATACAACTAGTATAATAAACCTGCATTAGAAGTTAATATTATGAAACTTTAGTAATATGTACGTTGAAAAAAATAATAATAGCATAATGTGGAAAGTTTCTTTATTACACTGATAGATATGGATATTTGTTTCTGGTTATTTCTGTCCACATCTTGTTGTTTCATGTTTATCTACATGATACACGTGTTAATTAAAAAAGAAAATTGATAAAGAATAACAATATCTGAATTGCTAGTTTACTGACCACGTGAATTGAAAAAATGGTCTGACACTGGTTTGGACATTTCCACAGTGAGAACCTATCATATATTATGTATATGCTTAGTTCGGTTCTAAATAGTCCTGAGTAATATTTTCTCCAAAATTACATTAAATGTAACCTGTATTTTAAATCTCTTTTCATTTATTATTATTATTATTTTAATTTTCTGTAAAACAAAAAACACTACAATTGAAATACATAATTTTTACGGACCCTTTCCTTTTATACAATATTTAATGAATAGCTGTTGCCCGCGACTTCGCTCGCGTGGAATTTGAAAAGCTCTGCCTTAGTGGATTCGGTTCCATTTTTATAGGGTTTTTCTGAGAGAAAAAATAGCCTAAGTTACTTCTTATATAGACAGCTATTAGATAATATTTTACTACCAGGTAAAATATTATCAATATCGGCCAAACTGTTTTGTAGATTAACCAGAACAAGCAGACAAACAGACAGACAAAAAAATGTTGCAACTAGTTTTTAGACATAGGTATCGTGTTAATAACCATGTGAGCATGGAAAAAAGCCTGTTATTTTGATATTACAAACAGACCCTTCAATTCTATTTACGAGTATTTGTATGGATGGTGATGAAATCATGATTTAATTTCATTGACTAAAATCATAGATACTTACTGGATGGATTGTTTTGATACGGAGGTCGATGACCATTAGGCCATAGACCATATGCTCCTTGAGAATTAAATGGAGGCCTATTAGGAGGATAATATATCGGACGTTGAGGCCTCTGTGGCGGCCGTGGCTTGTGCATTGAGTGATGCCTATTACGGTCTTGATAGAACGACGAAGTGTCGTAGCTGCCATCGAATATTTGTCTATGGTCTCGTTTGTTATAAATATAATTCTGCACGGGCCGCGTAACTAAAACATAGTTTACAATTTGATTAAATAAATGTTGTATGTAGGTAACTTACATATAAGTTCAGGTAGACTCAAACCAATTGTCTACAAACCATACAAATAATTATGCTACAGCCCTTTTAAGCCCCTAGTACTACTACGAGTACTAGTCTAAATTAGCAGTTGGCGATGTGATTGCTCAGTCTTCTGAGCTTTCTTCTGGTTCTCATATGTGTGTATAATCGCTTCACAAACATATTTTAAAATAAGTTATTTTCTTTTTTAAATCTATAAATCATACTCCTCCATCATTTTTTTGGTTAGGTGGTATTTAAACTATTAAAATAAACTTTACAAAGTACTAACTTGAACTTATATCCGTTTCGTCGTAATCTTCGATGTCACCGCAATCATTTGGGTCGTCATCTTGTGACTGATCTTGTAGATTATTAGGTTTATTATTATAGGTAGGCCTTGGACGATTGGGAGACATAGGGCCAAATAAGAGTCCCAATGTCCGAGATTGGCTCTCTTCTCTCAAACTAGACGCATATCTATGCGGAGCGATTTTGTTTGTAGGACATAATGAACGTTTAACTGTCACTGCATCCAGGTACATTACAATTGATAACACCTAAAACACAAAAAAAAAGAAGGAATCCTAATAAAAACCGTCATAAATCAGATATTGGGTTCCCTTTTATTAAATGGAAATTTTACAAAAAAAAATGTATAGGAATAGGCACATATTAAAATTCACACGTACCAATGCTACAAGAGACAGGAATCTCTGTGATTTATCCATATTTTTTTTTACAATTTTTTTAATTTTATTTTATTTAAACACTTTTTCACACAAGAGACACTTCGTACTAATAATGATATCTGAGTGAGGTTCTTAAACCGTTATGTATACTATCGCAACTCCTCTCCCACGCCACGTTCTCTGTGAAATGAGACCGTTCGTTTACTTAATGACCTCTCTAAATAAGGATTATTATCGCTTTTATCAAGGCATTATCCTAAAAAATATACATGGAAAAATCTTACACATATATCAGTTTGGTAACAGTTCTTCAGGAACTTCCATTTAAATATTTTAAAATTAAGTTGAGAAAATGGCTAGTGGAGTGCTTTTATGCGATGAAAGAGTTCATGCAGTATAAAACTAAAGTATCTGATTATTTATGTGGGCCTTCGTTCAGCAGTGGACGGCAAAAGGCTGAAGTATAAATTAAAAATTAAGTTTAAATTATGAAATTTTACAGTATTTGTAAAATTTAATAATTTAAATACCAAATAATAATATTTCTTAACATTTTATTAATGATAATTAGTTAATATAATCAGACAATATCTTCATGTTTTGTTATTCATATTTGAATGTAAATATTTTTGCATGCGTAGGACAGGTAGAATATAGCTGTGTTCTGTACAAATAAACGTTTCTATTTTTCTTTCTTTCTTTCACCAAAAAAGGTTGATAAACAAGTAAAACAGTGAGGTTCGTTTAGTAAATGACTTCAAATACTAAAGCATTTTGAGGCGTTACCCCCATATCCTATCATCTATTTCGTGCAGCTAGTGAGAATTTCTCAAGTAAAACTCTAGGCCTACGATGTGTTACAATTTTGCATTTCAAATCACAAAAACATCAAAAACATTAATTGGTATTTTATATACTAGGTTGAATAAGCTTAAGCCATAAGCATCGTTTATGGTTTAAGCAGATCCATGAATTCTCTGTCTAGATTTATTCTTTAGCAAAAAGAAATAAAAGCTCTCATGAAAAATATCAAATGATTTCTATGAGAATTTTAGATAAAAAATAAGTAAAGAAAAAATAAACAGGCTTGTAAATAGATATTGACTACACGCACGGTTGCGGATGGCGCACCAGTAACCTCTCCAATGCGCATGGAAGATTTAACCCCCACATAGGATATCTATTTATGTGATGTAGGTATAGATTTTTAGAGAAGAGCATTCATGGAAGTGACTTCGTAAAATAGCGAGTGATAACACCAGCTGTAACAAACGGATTCAAATATTAACTAAAATCAGCCAAGACCGTGCCGAGCAAAGATCAGTTTAAGACCTCGGAATTTATTGGTAATATACCAATAATGCTTGTATATTTCATTTTAGTATTTTGTAAGCATTTAGTACCATGATTTCATTTAAATTTTAGAACTAAAGTTAGGCTGGTGCGGGCAGAGATATTTGACTATCAAAAATATTTTTTTTAAATAAATTTATCTAAAGTTTTATATTTACACATCACTGAAATATTAAAACTCTTCACGCTCCCTCAATGTGGTTTAAGGTACATATCATACATCTTTAGTAATAGAATTGTGTGTGTAAATGTATGGAAGTATGTGAACATAAGCCTATATTATATATATAAATTGCTGTATCCAAACAAATTGCAATTTTCGCAACAATGCTATTTCTTAATTTCAAATCCTTATACAATGCAAATGTGATTCCCAAGACTCGTGTTAGGCGTTTATGTTTGAAGATTTAATTGTGCAATTGCGTAGGTAGGTTGATATCTCCTTTTAGATTTTTTGTTTTCACAAAATGGCAGCTATTCAAGGTCAACTGCCTCTGCGCCCTAGATATTAATGATTTATTTACTATTACGATAGTAAAAAAGTGTAGGTACATTTAGCTTTTTAAGATTTTTTGAGGATTTACAATAAATCAAAAAATTAGAGTAGCCGCGAACACCCTAAGGCAAATTGCCTACAATCAATATTGATAGATAAACCGTTAGGACTTTGATGAATCACGAGCGTTTAGTCGAAACTGATTTTTTTTCAAGAAGAATCAACATACATTCCAAACTAATAACATCAGTGTCTTTATAAAAGTAGGATATCGTCATATTAAACAAAATTGAAATAGGACCACCTGGACAGTATACCCTTTGAAACATAAAAATATTTTTCCCAAATCGGTTCAGGCGTCCGAGTAATCGGTGAACATACATAAAAAAAAGATTCCGACTAATTAGTCGGAATCTTTTTCTCTTGTTCTCAATTGAGAACCTCCTTTTTTGAAGTCGGGCTTAAATACTGATGGCGTTAAAATACTAACTAATCAGTTTTTGTTTGCGATCTCCTTTTTAATTTTTTTGTTTTAATATCTACTATCGAGGTTTAAAAAATTCAAACCAAATATTTTAGCATAGAAAATCTGCAATTTTGATTATTATGATAAAACTAGCCATCCATCCATAGCCCGGCTTCGCACGGGTGCAATGTTAATACTAATGTGCTGTCAGTGTGAAGTAATTGATTATATTATTATGATTCCTACTGTAGTAATGTAAAGTACGCCCGTATAAGTCACTGATATCTTCTAAGATATTCTTTTAATGATATAGGTACTGCAAAGAGTAATTTTGATCTACATTAAATGCACAACGTATTTCGCTAGCCAAATATTAAGTTTTGCCAGCGTATTAATTATTTTTTTGAAAAGATTAATGCTCTATTAAAATAGCTTCGTAAGTAACCCATTATTTTTTGTAATATGTTAAGATAATAACGGTTACTGTGGGTTATCCTTAGGAGATAAACATATACTATAGCGGACTTTTGTAGAACTCTTGCTTGCTGTGATAGTATTACACAAAGTAGGTAGGTATAGAAACAAATGCAATTGTTTAAATTATCTGCTTGATATTGTATACACTTGGTGTTGTATATACCATATATGTGCCAATTGATAAGTACAATAAAACCTCTTTTGTTTGTGACAGAAAAAGATCTACGTATTAGGTAATATTCAAATGAAAAAGGCGATCAAGCAGTGAAAGAATTGGCAGAAATCCTTTCCGAAAGTAAAAGATTTTAACTCGGGGAATGAATACACCTACAACCATGTCGCTATAAGAGGCTACAAGAGACACACTGGTCGGTGTTTAACTGGTAATTTAAAAATGAATCGGGTGGGTGATTAAATAAAAACAACTTCTTAAGCGGTACACAAGCTATGATCACAGAAAAAAATGATTTGTTAAATATTTATATTTTATATTTAGATTATATTAAATTTTTGTCATATTGGTAAAAAAAAATTTTTTGCCTTTAACATTGGTAAATTACAGTTTTAATTTCATTTTGTGAGACTAAAACGTCTGAACCCCTCTTACTTCTAAAGGTGATGAATTTTAGCATGATTGAATTGGCTTCGCTGTAAGGGCGACTAAATAAATGTAATGCCAGGCCAGGACTCGCAGCGATTCATTTCTAGATAATATCTACATGAGACTCCGATATTAACACTCGCTAATAAAAACATTAGATGGTTTCAGCCGTTAGTCAATCGATAACACCTGTCTATATTTCTTCCGCGTTCCTACTACCCTTAGCGTGTTTAATAGGAGGAAACAAGACACTCAAATATTGTTGTAAATTTCAGTGGGTTTGGGTTTGTTGTAGCAAATAAACTAAGATTCAAGAGTGCTTTCAACATAAAAAATGTGTAATACAATACTTTGAACAGAATAAGAAAAAAAAAATAAAAACATTCATCTCTTTTGCTTTTTTACTTTTCTATTCTATTTTCGTTTTGACGCTGTCACACATGAGGTTGTAGAAAAGAGGTTCGTCAATTGATAAATTCTCAACACTCCTCCTTGATCAATTTACAACGTAGCATCTCAAAAACTCTTCGGTTGAGTGGCTTAGTGAGAATGTCTGCAATCTGCTTGCTGCTCTCGACGTGTTGCAATATCACAGTGCTGCCAACGTGTTGCTGGATGTACTTTCGTGGTAGTTCAATGTGTTTCTTTCCTCTGATTGTCTTTCCTTCGTGTGCGTTCTGTAACATGTGAATAGCTGACATGTTTTCGACTTTCAGAGTGATCGGCTGATCATTTTCCAAGATATCAAGCTCCAGTGCGATTCTCTTGATCCAGCATACATCGTCAATCACAGACACCGCGGCTCGGTACTCGGCTTCTGCAGTTGAAGTCGCTACCAAACGCTGCCTCTGTGAGTACCAGATCACTGGTCCTCCTCTCATCACCAACACTCCACTCGTCGACTGTCCTGTCTCTGAGTCTCCTCCAAAGTCTGAATCGGTATATGCCACGAGGTCTTTGTCTCCTCCGAGGTAGATTCCAAGTACTGAAACACACGTTTCACCATCGCCTGATGGCTTTTCATGGGGTTGTTGCAGAATCGACTGAGATAGTTCACGGCGAAGCTGATGTCTGGCCGAGTGATTGTAGCTAAGTACAACAAACTCCCTATCGCCTCACGATAGTTGTTGTTTGCCGGAAGTGCCTCGTTATTCTTGAAGTCTGTCTTCTTGGTGATCATTCCTTGCTCAATGGGTGTTGATGCTGGGTTGCACTGTTCGAGTTTCATTTTTCTCAAGATCTTCTCCGTGTATCGAGGCTGATTCACGAAGATACCATCCTTGTTGATCTTGATTTCCATGCCCAAGTATTTTAACTTGTTCTGTGCTTTCTTGTTGTATGTGATCTGAAATTCCTTGTTTTGTTTATCTCTCCCAAGAGTCTGTATATTTCTTTTTCATCCTTACCAGCTATCAATCCATCATCCACGAATAGTGAGAGCATAATGCTCTTGTCCTTGTTATAGTAAATACATGGGTCGTCATCAGTGTTGATCAGGCCTATCTTCTTTTCAAAGTGTGTGGTGACCCTCTCGTTCCACATCCTTGGAGCTTTTTTGAGCCCGTAAAGACTCTTATCCAACTTGCAAACTTCAGGCTGGTTCATATAAATAACTTGCTCCAGGTTTCCATACAAGAATGCCGTCTTCACATCGAACGATACCAACTTCATTTTCTCTGACGCTGCATGACTCAAAAGTAGTCGAATCGATGCATGGCGGGCTACTGGGCTGAATGTTTCCGCGTAGTCCACTCCTTTCTTCTGTTCAAATCCTCTTGCTTCGAGTCTGGCCTTGTATCTTCCGTCTGGCGAAGTACCCAACGACAAGTGATCGGTGTCACTCCTTCTGGACAGTTCACCAGTTCCCAAGTTTTCATTTCCATTAACGAGTCGTACTCCTCCTGCATTGCTTGTTTCCACTTCTCATCTTTGAGTGCTTCACTCACCGGGATGTCTTCCGTTTCACCAATCATGGCTACTTTTGCGCTCTTTCCTCCACGTCTGGAGTCAAGTACGCAGTCTTTCAGTCTCGGTGGCGGTTGCAAAGTTCGACGATCTCGCAAAATTCTTCTTCCTGGCTCTTCTTCTGGCGGTTGTGTCCCATTTTCGTTGTTGTTAATCTCCTCAGCACTTTCTGCAGTGGTCCAGTTTTCCTCTTCTTCGTCTGACTCACTGCTGCTTTCTTCTTGCTTGTCAGGTGTGCCCTCTGTTGTAGATGTCTCAAGTTCAGTACCTTGCCTCTGTCGTATCTTATCCTCGTCGAAGATTACATTGTCTGAAGTGACTACTTCTCTCTTCTCTTTCATATAAATCCTGTAGCAGTTCGAATCGATGTCATAGCCAACCAGAATTCCCTTTTCTGATTTTCTATTTATCTTGCCTCTCTTCTGTGCTTGAGTCAGCATATAACATTCACATCCAAAAGGTCGCAGTTTCTCAATTTTCATTTTTCTTCCAAACCACAGTTCTGCCGGACTTTTCCCTGGTACGTTGCTAGTTCCTGTCTAGTTGATCGTGAAGATCGCGTGGTTTATTGCCTCTGCCCATAGTCTCTCATCCAAACCATCTGCTTGTATCTCTGCCCTGGCTGCCTCGAAAATCGTTCTCATCTCTCTTTCAACCCTTTCATTTTGCTCTGGCGTATCTACATTCGTAAAGGTATGAAAGATCCCCAACTTGTCCATTTTCAATTCCGTGCCGTTATCAGATCTCAGACTTTTCACTCTTCTTCCCAGTTGATTTTCTACAAGTCTGAGATAGCTTTCAATCTTCGCTGGGGCTTCACTTTTCGTCTTCATAAAGTAACAGGTTCAGTAGTGGGTGAAATCATCTTTCAACATGAGCCAATACTTTGATCCTCCTAGAGATCGGATGTTCATCTCGCCGGTGTCAACATGCACAAGATCTAATGGCTGCTGGGCTGTCTTGGGGTTGTTCGGGTGTGAGGATCGATGTTGCTTTCCATATGAGCACCCCGTGCACACATAATTATTCCAGTCATCAACATACTTGATACCTTTTCTTTTCAGTATGTCCATCACATACTTCACATTTTGATGGGCGCGTCTTTCATGCCATACTTTGATCGACTGAACAATCAAACTTGTCTCTTCTTCTCTCCTGAGCATCATTTTGAAAAGATTTCCTTTGCGCCTTGCTATTGCCACAATCTCCTGACTGTAAAATGTCGACTCCTTTACATTTTCCTTCTGTACATATCCCTTGTCAAGCATCTGACTTACTGAGAAAATATTAAAGTAAAGATTTGGTACGTAGATCACATCTTCAAGTACCACTGGATACCACTTTTGACCATCAAAAGCCTCCATTTCGATGTTCCCGACTGCAAAGCCATCTAGTCTCGTTGCGTCTCCAATCACAATTGGAATGGACTCGTCCAGTTCATCAAGCTGTACAAACCATTCTCGATGAGACGTCATGTGTTGGCTGGCTCCACAGTCTTGATACCATGAAATTGCCCTGTCCTTCGAGATGTCATTGTCCGCTGTCGAGAGTGCTGTGGTCAAAAAAGCCTTCTTGATTGGTATTCCATTTGCTGACTTATTTCCTTCTTCTCTGAATGGACAGTCCTTTGCGAAATGTCCTTTCTGCTTACAATTATTACATGAATGTTTCTTCTTGCAGTACTCGATGTATTTCTGACATGGCTTTCCTCTGCACTCCTTGATTACGTGACCTTTCTTCTCACATTTGTAACATGCGAGCTGTGACTTGTCCTGCTTGCTTGATGACTGTACTTGTTTCACACGTCTTGTCATGAGAGCGTTGCTGGTACTACTCTCTGCGTTTGTCGTCGATTTCTTAAGTTGCTCGTCCTCAAGCCTTAAACGTTCAATGAGAGTATCTACGTTCTTTGTAGGTCCGGTCACGTTGTTCCATGATGTTCTGAAATGCGCCAATTTTGGTGGTAAGACACTCAAGATCCTTGTCGTGATCCAACTTTCTCTCATAGGATCATTTTCAGTCGACACTTATTCAGCCAAATCCATAATCTCCATACAATTCTCTACTGCTGACTTGCTTTCATCATACTCAAAGGTAAAGAATTTAATTCGAGACGTTTCTAAAGTTACATCAGTCTTTGTGCCATATAAAGTAACTAATTTGTCCATCATGTCTTGAGCAGTTTTACAATTTGCAATTTTGTTCGCTATCTTACTGTTTACATTTAAACCTATGAATGTTTGAGCTTCGACATCTTTCTTTATCCAAGCTGAAACCTTTCCTTCTGACACAGCATCTGCTGGTTTGACTTTCACACCTGTCACAATGTCGTACAGGTCTTTATTCTTTAGTGCTAGGTTTAGTTTAAATCGCCATGAAATGAAATTGACATTTCCCTGACTACCTTCACTTAGCATCTCCAACTGCGATTTTACAGTATCCATTTTGCTTAAAATTTGACTGACTTCTGACAACTTTTAAATAAACAAAATGAATTTACAAACTTTCGTGGCGATTTTCTGACTTAAAGCGACTTGCGTGTTACGTTACTCAACATTGACTTGCTGTGCGATGACTGCTCATCTTGACTTCTTTTCGGTCACTTTCCTGGCCTTGCTTCCAACAAAACCCTTTCACAGCTGCCCTGGGCCCATAACCTGTTGTAAATTTCAGTGGGTTTGGGTTTGTTGTAGCAACTAAACTAAGATTCAAGAGTGCTTTCAACATTTAAAAAAATGTGTAATACAATACTTTGAACAGAATAAGAAAAAAAATTAAAAACACATTCTTCTCTTTTGCTTTTTTACTTTTCTATTCAATTTTCGTTTTGACGCTGTCACACATGAGATTGTAGAAAAGAGGTTCGTCAATTGATCAATTCTCAACAAATATTCAGTAGATCGAACAGATACTCAGTATCCTGACCAGATTATTAATTTAGTAATTAATTTCAAAAGAACAAAAACATCTCAACTTAGGCGATTTTGACCCAGTTGGAAAGTCCATTTTATTCGAGTTTCTATTTTTTTTTATCTTAAAAAATGCGGAACAGTTATTTGATTGCCTGAAATGTTCGAATGTCGTTTGACTTATTTTCTACCACGTCACTTACTAATTATAATTCAATAAATGTATTTATATCAAGATGCATTTAATGCTGCGGTCTAATGATTGATGTTGGGAACTTGAGTATATGCTCATTGTAGTGAGAACTCTTCATATTGCAATACAAGATTAGCAGTTACTCCAAAGGTCGTTGAGGGTACTGAAACATGTTTCTGTTTCGTTGAATGTGAACGTCGCTACAATGCCATATCATTAAGGAGATTGGCAGACTTGACATTAAGGAATAAGCATAAAAATTTAAATGAAATGAATAATGAGTGTCCTAATAAATAATCTATTTTTATTTTTTGATAGTAACAGTCACTACACTTTCAGAAGTCAAAACGTTGCTTGTCACGCAATTTATTAAAGTTAACTGGAAATAAAGTCTATTTCAAACTATGATAAATCAAATACTTTCCACTGCTTACTGAAGTATAGTTTATATTATGATAAACGGTATAAGATGCCTAATTTTTTGTGTACCATCTCCTTCCAAAAACAAGTAAACATAAAAGCCATTCCCAAATTAGGCTGCATTGTTGTTGACTTTGGCTTTCGATACAGCAATAAAAAAAACAACTTTGACATTTCGCTCATGGATTCATTGATTTAACTGAAATAATTCTGAATAAAATATTAAAATGGCTAAACAACCGGGTAAAATATATTTAGGGTACGAAGATGAAGTAATTGGTGACAAAAATCAAACTCTGTTAAATTACACGGTTAATAAAATCGGTGGACTACCTGTAAGTTATGAAGCTTGTTTTGTAAATTGAAAACATTATCGACCGCATGCTTTGTTTTCATGATAATTTTCTTCTTTACAGGACTGGCCACCTATAGAAAATATCCAGTTTTCATCTAAGTGTCCTTTGTGCGGTTTACACAGGCTTCTTGTTATACAGTGCTATGCCCCTCTTGAAAATTCGGTGTATCACCGCACTTTATATGTTTTCTCTTGTATAAATCCAAATTGTTGGATTCAGTCTGAAAGGTGAATACACTAAATTATGTGTTTTTTTTTTATATATATTGATTTGTTTTGCCATTAATAACTTAATTCAATTTCAGTTGGTTATGTGTTCGAACCCAGTGCCAAGAGAAGTCATCAAATGAGCCAAGTGCTATTGTTGCAATGCCCAATGCTGAAACTCAGGTGTCATGGTGCAATGGAGCAGATGAGTGGGATGAAAATGATAATGACGCAGCCAACGGAAATTTTATGAATGTTGACAATGTTCCAAGCCCTAATAATGCTATTCCACGGTATGTATCATTACTTAATCATGGACTTACTTCAAGTTACATTAATTAAACCTTACAAATAATATGAATTAATTAAAATCTTTTTCTAGAAATTCTGATGAAGATGAGGAGAGTAACTCATTTGAATTAGAAACAGTGGAACAAGCTCTTGGTAATCTTCAAGTATTTGATGCTCACAACGCCAACATGTCCCCTATACAAGGTAACATTTATTCAATTGCTGCATAGTGGTGTTAATAGTGCTACTTGTTTTATTTTAATATAACTTTCCTTGAAAGGAATCCCAACTCTATAATTAACATACTAGTTTTTAGTAGAAAATTAGAAGTTGGCTGTGGTGCCTTCTAGCATCTCGATCTTGAAGTGATTTATGACAGTTTCACTAAATAAAGTAATTGAATTGCCTAGATTTAGATTGAATCTAAATATTATTTCTCAGTCATAAAAAATGCAAGAATTCTGCTAATTGACTCATTTTAGTTATTTGCTACTTTTTGTCTATATTTTGATTTCATTTTATTAAAATAGTAATGTCTCCTTTGTATGGTTTCACCTACTTTTGAAATTGACCTAATTTAAACTATATGAATTTATCAATTAAGATATCCATTCTTATATGAAAAGGTATATTGAAATAAATAAAAACTACAATATTTATCGCAGGTCACATTTCAACATATCATAATTAATCTATTTAATTATTATCTAATCTATATATCTTCAGGTTGTCTTCAAGACCAAAGCACTTCCACCCCTTAGGCGTTCATCCTCCCATTTTTTTGTGGAACCTTCTCTAAAAGTTTCATAACTTTTGTATTTTCTTATATAATTCTGTTTTAATTTTTGTTATTTATGTATCTTTAGCCAGTTGTGTCCAACTTTTATGTATGTAAGTAGTTAATACAAAATAACTATTTTAAACAATTCAGGAGCTGTAGGCGCTATTGGTGCACCTACTGCTGCAGCAGAATTAGAGGGTGGTGACGAGCCTGGACTGGTTACAGTAGATACACCTACTGCGCCAACCAACGATGTTCAAGCATTACTGCATCAAGTATGTCTCTCTATTATTTATTTATATTAATTTAAAACAAATTACATATCTTTCTAATCAATTATAAGAATCAAAGTAATATAACTGTGCCCTAGAATTTAAAACAGCAAATTGTTTTGTATATTCTAACCAGTTTTAGTTTTTTGTCTAATACAAATGTATGAATCAGATTGTCATTCACTATGACAGAGGCAATATTGCAACAAAAGGCCTTAGCATTTCATAGTTTTATGTCATATGGTATTTTGCTGTGGGGAAATTTTCTGATGACATTCAAAGTATCTTTGTCTTGCAAAAGAGAGCTATTCACACAATTTATAATCTCAGTTGTAGGGATAAGTTTAAAGAAATTGGTATTATGACAGTGCATCTCAATATATATATGAAAATTTTGTGTATGTTAAGAAAAATATTCATTTATTCAGAAAGTTTAGCGACATTCATAATCACTAATCACTATAAATAAAAATAAGCTAGTTTTGCTAATGACTAGGCTATAAAAGAAAGCAAATCTTTTCTATGACAAGGGTGTACGATTCTACAATAAAATTCTAAGCAAATTTCATAAATTAAGTATTAACAAATTAAAGTCCTAAGTAAAGCAAAAACTATTTAAAAATGCCTGCATGGTTACTGATTATTTAGATGACCAATTTTCTTGGGATTGATGCGGCTCACTCCCACATTTGGAATTGATGAACATTTTTTTTTTAAATATGTATTTCATTTGTTTTCAATTTGTTTATTTGAAATTGAAGTGATTAGTGTTTTTTTTTGTGAAAGTATGTAATTGTGAGCATAGTGTAGGCTTGCAATGTCATTTCATATTATTTTAATTAACTTTCTGGTGTGTTGTGTACCATTGTTGTTGATCCTGATTATATCGGTTAGGCTACACGATGGCTTGGGCTCGTATGCCGTCTGTATGGACGGGCCGACTCAGTACTATGGTCCTTTCTTCAAAAGGCCAACCCTATTTTGCACTCACATAGTTCTCTTTAACATTGTACACTAACTTAAAAAAAAGAGCAAACTCAGTTGTTTGTTTCAGCGTTTCTTCCCAGATTTCTGTAAAGGCCGATTAGTAAAAATATCTGAAAAGCTTTACTTGCAGAAATAAATATCATTTTATCATTTTTATCAATTGTTATCACATACCTAAAAATTTATTTGATTGTCGCCAAGAGCAAATATTTATATGAATGAAAATTATTATTCACTTTTCTATTATTTCAGACTGCAGAGTTGCCCCATGATTTAAGGAGTCGGTTGATGTTAGGACCATTACAGTTTGTGCCCAAATATATGTATGTTGAAGAAGAATGGAACAAATCGTCCAGTGCTGATGATAAAGTTACTGAATTGCTCAATAAATATACGAGGGAGAATGGTAAATCGAAAATACTTAACAGTCTCTGATTTTAAGCTTGAGTTAATTCATCAACAGAACAATGTAATTATGCTGTGCGATAGCGAATTTCATCATCATAATTACCACAGACTTCCTTCTCTCTCTTTCTAACAGAAATCGAAGCTTGTGGAGGTGACCGAGTCGGGGTTGCGGTTGGAGCTGCCGGTGACGATGAACCTTACGAAGAAGCGACACCTCTTCATGGGGACAGATTATTCCATGCTTTCCTCACTCGCTTGCGTAAGAATCCTGGACAAATACTTAGGTAAGTAACTGGTACTAAAATACTTTGCCCTAACTTAAAATACTAGCTTTATAAGACATCAAATAATTTTTTTATAACAAAAAAAGGTCCATGTAAACTTTTCACCAAGTAATGAACTAGGCAGATTTTATTTTTTCACTTTGGTATTCTGGACGTTTTGACTAATTTATTATGTCTTAAGTAAAGTAAAATACCCACAGGTATTCCCGGGAGGAGCCCCCGGTACTGGGCGCGCCACTGCCGAGCGCGGCGGGCACGCCGGAGTCTCCGAGCGTGCCCACGGTCTGTGCTCGATGTGGCTCAAGACTGACCTGCGAACTGCAACTTGTACCAGAGTTCGCTGAAACTCTGCGGCTACACCCCACTAACATTTCTCTTGCTCACTTACATTTCCTCTCTGTACTCGTTTTTACTTGCTCACAAAGTTGCTGGCAGTCATCCGATACCCTCGTGAAGGAGTTTATCGTATTTCAACCCGAAGTTGTCTAAATTGTTTTATAATTTTTAATAACTCACTTACTATTATGTTCGATGTCTATTAAGGTATTATTATTAAAGAGCTTTAGCTAGAAGTTGCATATTGTATAAATATGTTACGTTACTCATTTATATTGTAAGACTAATTTCAAAAATATTTTCTATTGTGATGGTAAATCTTTCATTAAACAATATGTTCAATGTTTATAGGTGTTTTATATTCATTGTTATTTATATTTAATAAAGCATAGCTTCGATTATTTGCCTAATTGTGAATATTCTGTAGCTTAGTATAATCAAAGAGATTTAAACTTTTTACAAGATGTAAACTTTTTGTAACCTTTATCTTAATATTTTTCTTATCTGTATACATGTTATATAAAAAAAAACACTGTAGCACCTTCCATAGATTGAAAATTTACTGCTTTATTATTATTAATAAATCTAAGTAGGGATTGAAACAATATATATGGAACTGAATATTAATGTATACTTACTTGTAAGTACACTGGTAAATCTGAAATGTCCATAGGTAACTGCCAGATAGAGGGTAAGGTTATATTATAAGAGTGAGCCTTGGCTAAGACAAATTATAGCTACTAAGAAAACTATTGCTTCAAGATTTGATGTCCTGATGAAAATAACGATAAATATTATTATTTGTGCCGTTTTCAAGTTAAATTTACTGCCCTTAAATTGTTAAGTTGTTTAATCCTCGAAAAATAAGTGTTATATAAGACTTGGAAAACTTAAACTACTTACTTGTTTTCAAGTTTTTTATTATATTATATTATTTTATTACAAAAAATAAAACAAAATTTGACAATAGCTGGGTATGACGTCACTAACTCTTATTTCATGCCGGTTTAATGTTCAAAGAGTTTAATGTACTTCCGTATTGTCGATCTATTATCATCCATACCGCACCAAAATTACTGAACTAGGAAACCGCTATGCAACTAATCTTTTATTTAAAGTTTGGGTATCTAGTGTGCGTTTGTCTATGAGATAACTCTACATGCTGTACACATGAATGATGATCATGAAAATATAAAGTTAAGCAATATGTATGATCCGTAAGTGTTTTTCATTAAGAATATATTTATTTGAAAGACAATGTCACATGAATCCCTGTTTCGTTAAAAGTTGTGACAACCGAATTTAACTTTGACTGACCGAAATGAATATTGAGCAGTTAGTAAAAAAAATAATTCGAAAGTTCGATTGCATTCGTTTAGATAAAATAAATAGTCACATCTAAAAGGAAGTTAATCAGTCATTAAAAAGCACAAGTATTTAAAAATTAATTGCCATCACAACTCATAATGAAACAACTGTACCATATATTTTACTATATAACTGTACTATATAACTTCAATGAATATTAACTACTTATTTAATACAAACTAGATAGTTACTGCCCTATGATAAAATTGACAATTATAAACCAAAATATAACAAATAGTTTTTACTTGTAAAACTTAGATTTTTAGAAAAACTAATTTTATTCTTTATTGTAAAACCATCGTTTAAAATATGCTTTTCCGTTCCATAAATTTAATAAGTATTAAATTGTTAATCAATATGTAGAATAGCATGAAAACTTTAAAATATACTTAAACATGTTAGTTATATCAACTCTCTGTGCTCGTTTTATTTGTGCATTTATTGCTCCCTAGCGGAGATTTAGTAGTTTGGCGCACTGTCAGATTTCCTTCCTCCTGTATCTACAGAAACGCCTTGTCTTTATTTTTTTTTTTGTTTATAAAGTAATCAATAGGTGCAAAAAAAAATCTAAGATGTCAAAATTCAAGAAATTATGATAATTATTATTTAAATATCTGAAGTGTCCAAAATACTAAGACGAATCTACTGTCTTCAAAACTATAGTTACATTCGAAATGAAAATAATATGAAAACGTACTCCAAAGCTAATGGGCTGGCCATATTAGCCGCAGAACCGAGAACCGTTGGGGAAAACGAGTTCTTGAGTGGAGACCGCGTCTTTGTAAACGTAGTGTAAGACGCCCACAGGCCAGGTGGAGTGACGATTTGCGCAAGATGGCTGGCAGGAGCTGGATGCGAGAAGCCCAAAATCGATCTAAACGATAGGCTGATGATGATGAACTCCAAAGCTTTATAATACCTTCTAAATACTTAATAAATGTTTAATTGAAGACCTATACAATATTAAAACGGCCAATTTCCCTACTATACCTCACATATACGCCTTCTTGTTATTGCACTACTTTAAAATCATTATCATCAACGAATTTTAATACATAAAACGTATATCGTGCAATGGAATTCATGTAGCGCTATTGTAAGATGAGAATCAATAGACAACTTTTCCGCAATCATGATGAGTTTAAGAATTAAAATTCGTGATTCAACGGTTTTAAGACTTAACTTTGTAATATATTTATCATTATTAATATTGAAAAACTCAATAAAATGACAGACTGCGTAAATCTAAAATTTCATCAATTTATTCGATTAGTTCAGTTTAGTTAGTCGACTATCGCTCTAGGTTTTTACTTGAAAGTGCGATCACTAGCCGTACTCTAGAATTTTTGAGAAGCCCAATTTATTATCTGTGCAGTACGTTTTTCGTAAAGCAATCGGTGTGGTAAGGCTTTAAGTAGGTAATAAGTTAGCAGCTTATAAAGAACACCTTAACCGGGAGTTAAGTGCTTATTGAACGTTTATTGTTCGTGCAATATTATTTTGTAAGCCATTGAAATAATTTCTTAAAACATGGCTAATGAAGCACCAGTTCCTCCTCCTGTTTTATGGGCTCAGCGGAAAGCAGAGGTCTTTCTCACAATAAGCGTTGAATCCAAAGATCCAACAATCAAAATCGAACAAGATTCAATATATTTCAAGGGTGTCAATGTGTCTGACAATAAATCACATGAAGTAACCATACCTTTGTATGACAGTGTAATTCCGGAGTCTAGCGACTACGTAAATAAAGGCCGGTGCATAGAAGTGATACTCAACAAAAAGAACACAGACGCGTCTTACTGGCCATCACTAACAAAAGATAAAAAGAAACCTCACTACCTTAAGGTAGATTTTAACAAGTGGATAGATGAGGATGATGAAGAAGAAAGTAGTGGTGATATTAGTAATATGGACTTTGGCGATGCATTCCAAGGAATGGGTGATGACGGCGAGGATTAGAACAAGGCTGCACATACCTCATTCCGTGTCTTAGAAACTGAATCGGATGAAGAAAATTTATCTGATCTTTGATAATACCTCAATTATTGCTTATCACATGGAAAGTGCATTGTGTTTAAGGTTTTACGTTGAAAATAAAACCACTGAAGAAGAAAAATATGTTAAAATCATTTTACTAAATGTTAAATGTTCATCAACTTTGCCTCTTTAAAAATAACCTTGCAATAAATTTGAAATTAAGTATGTAGCTAGGAAATTTTTTAATCTCTATAGACAAATATAAGTTGTAAACTATAATCCTTAATGGTTAAATATTTTATAAATTTAGTTTGGTTGTATTTGAGTAATGTTTTGTAAGTCTTGGTACAAGTTTTAATTCAAAAGGTAGCATTCAGTTTGGTTTCTAATATGAACAATAAATTCTTATGTATTTTGTAACTATGGCTTTTCATTTTTTTGCTACTTAAACAAACTTGTTGCCTTTCTTGCTTCCACTTACAGGTAGATGTACCCCGTGTTCTCCCTACGGTTATATCTCTACGACTGAAATTGTATAACTTAGAAGTCATACAACTTTTATCACTTACACTACATCCTTTAAGGTTGTCCCGTGTAAGATTTATTTAGGCTAGCATTTCTATCTGATGCTTTCATAATATGTTGAATAGAATTTAAAAGCCCTAAAATAATCTTAAAATCTTTATTTAGCTATTATTAATACTTCTGTAAATGCTAATGCTTTAGTAGCATTAAGTCTACCATTACTTGTTTTCATGCAAAAATTATAAATAACAATAAAAATAGCCTACACATGCCTAGCCTATACATGCCTTTACTCATTGTAAAGGCATGTATAGGGGGTATAACTCAGAGTTGTCTGATTGGATCTTAATCTACAGAAAACTGAGCAGACCAACATATACAACCTAACTTGCTTTTTAGAAACATGCTCTCTTTTGACATTCGAAATAGAACCAAGTAAAATGTCATTAGTGGTTACCGGACAATGACATGTCTTAACCAAACATGTCCTACATTACATACTATACAAAACCGGTCAAGTGCGTGTCAGGTCACTCGTTATACAGGGTTCCATAGTCGTTGGTTACAACATGTGGAATTTAGAAGGGAGCTTTTATATTTTCCTGATTTAACGGGCAATGACGTTTTAAATCGGGCTCATGTAAGCATCCCGCGACGTCAAACCAGCACGTCTTGAGTCGTTCCCTTCTATCTAGCTTGGCCAGACTTTTGTTTCCCACGTAGCCAGAGGCGGATTAAGTATCAAGACCGCCCTAAGCAAGCATCTCATCAGCGCTCGATCCATTCGGCCCATTCTATAATATTAACAGTTACTAGTTGACGTTACTAAGTGTGTGATAGTGATGACTACAAATTTTATATAACAACATACATTTTTTTACATTTTTTTGTTCTAGTTAACATTTCTTTACTAGAACTTTTAATTTTTTAAGTGTGGCAATCTCTATAGGCTGTCATTCCGCCAGGGTTTGCGGATTATCTGAATCGAACAGACTAGAACCATACACTGCGCCTGAAATGGGGGGTTTTTTTTTGGTGACAGATGGCCTCACTTGTCACCCCCAGGTCTGCACTTATGCAGGATGGAAGTCATTCAGCGACGTCCGCTGCCTGAGCCGTCTGCAGTACCTGCCCCGTTCCCGTTTCAAGTCCCTCTCCACCCTCTCCTTTTTGAGCAAAACATCGCTCCGTACCATGGTACCGAGCTAGAGAATCCTCTCTCCGATGGCCGTCACGAGGCCACGCCTGTGTTCTACCTGACAAAGTTAGGATTTCTAGTCCTCGATTTCTCAAGTCCTACGATCCCGACCTAGTACGAACCCGAGATACCCATCGAGGGCTCGATGTTGATGCGAGTGCCTCCTACTATGAGACTGAACCCGCCAGGTGGCCCCCTTCGAATCTCATGAAAGTACAAGGGTTTTTGCGGAGACACCTTCAGCCCCAGCGGCTGGATTCTCACGGTACCTCTTACCGAACGCTGCCACGAAACGGTGACACTAGCTAACACCTGCCCTTTAAAAGCGCGGGCACCACCTTCAGAAACAAACTCTCATTTAGAAGACGTCCGCCACACCAGGACGTCACCTCCTCGCGGTAGACCTTCGTAGCGAGTGGAGGGGTAAACACTTCCACCTGAGGGCGGCATGAGCCGCTGAAAAGCGCGCCAGCCATGGAGTGTGTAACGGCTGGTAGCTAGAAATCCTCTCCGATGTATACAATGAGCATGCGTGTGCTTAGCCGAGATCAAATTGCGCTGCAGTGGTGACGCAACTCAAGATAGACTGCTGGTACCTCCCTTAGTAGACGTGCCCAGAAAAGACCTTCGTCAGTCGGAAGGAAAGAGTCCCGTACTGCCACCCTGCCCGCTAGACGATGACCGGCTCAATACTTATTTCCGCCTTTAAATCTCAAGGTTAGCACCTTCAAAGGCGCGCCTTATTCTGGGCGATCAGAGCTTCCGCTCACAAAGTTGCACCGTATAGTGTCATTGACTGGACAGCCCTGGTTTATTACAACAAGTTATAGAGTAATCTCAACTACAACTGCAGTTGTTGCAACTGCATTTTTGTGGACACGTACTAGCCTCAATCTTCTTAGGTATCAGAAAATGAAAGCAAAGAAATAGGGGCATTTACTTTCGGGCACGCCGTCATCGGGGCGGTAAGACCCGTTATGGAGGATTGGCTCGAGAGGCGTCACGGGACCCTCTCATACCGACTGACGCAGGTGATCACTGGGAAAGGATGTTTCGTGGATCACCTGTGTCTGATCTCACCTGATCACCTGTGTCTGATCTCACCTGATCACCTGTGTCTGATCAACGCCTGAGTGCCACCACTGCGATGGCCAGACCGTGGACACGGCTCTCCACACGCTGGCAGAGTGCCCGGCGTGGGTTGAGCAGAGGCGAGACCTCGTGGCGGCCATCGGAGTGGGAGTTCTCTCGCGATAGCCTTGCGGCTATCGTGCGGAGCGAGAGTGCGTGGAACTCTGCCGTCTCCTTCAGCGAGCAAGTTATGCTCGCGAAGGAGACGGCGGAGCGGGACCGGGAGAGGTTTAGGACCCTCCCGGCCCGCCAGGCCCGGGAACGGGTCAGGTACCGCAGGCGACTCAGGCGCCGGAGGTCGCAGAACGTCCTCCGTCCTCCATAAGCGCAGGCCTAGGGGTGACAGGTGAGGCCATCTGTCACCCTAGCAGAAGCAGGCCGGGGTGGCGGCGAGCGCGTTGCGAAGTGCGCTCGCTTCCAGGGAGCAGAGGGAACATGGGGTTCCCACACGGGGGGGTCGTCTACCTGTTGTTGTAGATGGCCCGAGGTATGTCGGGGCACCAGGGACTTCCTTTCTAGGGTATACCTGGTTCCCCGGCTATTAGTACCCGAGAGGGCGTGCGGTTTTAGTCGGTTCGAGTCCGATATGCCACCGATAGGTGGTATCCGAGGGAATTTCCGCACGGAAAAAAAAAGGGCATTTCCTTCATATAAATCCTAGATGTCGACCTTAAAGATCTCTATAGAATTAAGGAATTGTTTATATTGTCTATGTGCATACTTACTGACACAATTCTTTTTATGTAAAGCATATATTTTTTCTTTCTTAAAAAAATCTGCACGAGCGCCCCTTTGTAACCTCGCGCTCCTAGGCACGGGCCTACTTTGCCTTAGGGTTAATCCGTCACTGCACGTAGCCAGATGGTTGCCACAAAACGCGGCCGTACCAGAGAGACCCTTGCAACTTATCAGGAATGTCTCACGATCATGAGGGCTGCCACGGATGCAGGAGTTCCTCGCGCTACTTCACACACCGTGTTACTTCACGCAACATATTCTATAACTTTTTACGATATGATTATAATTTCCTTCGATCAGAAGGACATTCCAGCAAAGTGCCCGTGATGCCCATGCTTTAATGGTCCATGACTTCCTGTTGGTAAACTGATTTGACCGGGAGGAATTTCTGTTCCTCGTGGAGGAAATGTTTAGGTAGGTGAACTCATATTGAATAAGGTTTTAGTGATTATGTACATTCATGAAGAAAAATAGAATGGCAAATAGTGGCAATGATATTCATATTATTAAATAATATTTTTTCGGACATCTGACACACAACGCCATCTAGTTTCAAACTAAGCAGAGCTTGTACTATGAAATCTGGATTGGCTGATAGAATACTTTTTTTTGTAAATACATACATATTATTTTTTGCCTGATTTATGTCTGCATAACATAGTAAACTGTATTTTTAATTGATGTAAAAAACATTCAGCATAAAAGGGGCAAGTTTTAGTTTGTGACACTAACAGAAAATTAACGAATAATTAATTTACGCCTTTTTATCAATATATAGGAATTTTTTTATAGGTACCTACATATCAATCTTAAATCTAAAATGCGTTATTTGATCGCACTATTTCTTTACATAGTATAAAATAAAGTCGCTTTTTTGTGTTGTACGCTTAGATCTTTTAAATTCAGTAACCTCTCTTAATACGAGAGTTATACAAGAGGAAGGTCTATATGTACCTATAATACATACATGTATATTGTAGTTAGGAAAATCCGATAATTTCTTCATTTACTTCAAAAAACGTGTTTTTTTGCGGTTACATTGCAAACGCTGGCTAGACCTAAATAATGTACTACGGAATAAAGATCTACAAAAAAGTCCACGATTACATATTTCTATCTCCTAAGGGTAATCCACAGTGACCATTATTATCTTTTAAATATTCTAAGAAAATGATGGGGTATTTACGAATCTATTTTAAACAATACATTATTATGCCTTATGCAATTAAATACTCCCATACGTTGTACGTACTCAACATACATTTTGCATTTATACTAATATTATAAAGCTGAAGAGTTTGTTTGTTTGTTTGTTTGAACGCGCTAATCTCAGGAACTACTGGTCCGATTTGAAAAATTCTTTCAGTGTTAGATAGCCCATTTATCGAGGAAGGCTATAGGCTATATAGCATCACGCCAAGACCAATAGGAGCGGAGCACCAATGAAGAATGTTTCAAAAACGGAGAAAATTTATTACTATTGAGAGACGCAGACGATGTTGCGCGTGTCAGCTAGTTTAATATAGATTAAAAATTGCTCTTAACAGCATATCAATAAAATGAATATTTTAGAAGATATTAGAGTTTTAAATTGTCACTTCATTTATTGTGTTATAAGTACATGTTAGAGAACACATTACGCTATCTAAAACACTCACATAAAAATTTCAATTTTTTAACTACCAGAAAATCGTTTTAATCATTAATCATGAATAATCATCATATTAATGATGAAGAGCGAAAGTAGAAATGATTAAATTATTAATAAAAAAGGAACCTATTAATTTTCTCGGAAGTGTACTCGTCGTACTTAAGTGCGAGAAAATAAATCAGGAGCAGCGACAATATCGGTGAGCCAATCACTGGCCGTCGTTATGACTTATTTGCCCCCCTCGTACTTCATACCCCAAAAGGGACCCAAAAATCGGATTCTGCGCAGGTGAAGATCGGTACCGGTAAGTTGAAGATAAATAAATAAAAAAAAAGATATCCTGTAGTATCATCATCATCTCAGCCGAAAGTCGTCCACTGCTAGACATAATCCTATCATAATAATAGTATAATTAATTACTTCACCCTGACACCACATTAGTATGTAGTATTACTAGTATCTACATTGCATCCGTGCGAAGCCGGGGCGGATCGCTAGTTAAAAATAAATGAAGAAAGTTTAAATTTGTTAGTTTTGTAAAAAAACACCTTCCATATATTTTATTACTTAATAACTTAGGTACCCATATAATATTTTTTTCCTTTTTTGATTTTAAAATACAATTTTATTTTTTCAGTTCGATTGTAATTCGAATATTTTGAGAATATAATAATTTGCGAATATAAGTTTTTGCTAATATAACTGAGAACAAAGGGTTCAACCTGCAATCGTCAGGAAGTAAAACATTTGTTCCTTTTTGACCTGAAATAAAAATAAACAAACAGTAGAACATGCGGTAACAACCCATCCTGATTTTTCTCCTATTTATTTAAAACTAGCTGACCTGCGCAACATCGCCTGCTTCTCTCAAAAGGAGTAAATCTTCCCCGTTTTCGCAATATTTTTTATTGATACTCGGCTTCTATTGGTCGTGGCCTGATGTAATATAGCGTATATCCTTCTTCGATAAAAGGGCTATTCAACATTAAATTATTTTTTCATTGCGAACCATCAGGGCCTCAATTCTATTTTATGTTAACGCCAGGCCGTGTTGTTTTAACTCAATGGCCAGGCCACTGTCATCTCAATAGCGTGTCAATACACGCTATTGAAATGACATCGGTCAAAATATCAGTATTCTACTAACATAAATTCACTGTGTCAAGAGACTGTCGAATAAGTACTATACATAGATAATACACTAATATAAGTACAATAGGTCATCAATGGTGATATCAACAACATTTCCATACCTGAAAAGTTAAATAAATCCTTTTCTTACAAATTTAAAACGTTTCGTTTACCAAATTGTTACAAAGACATCGACGACATTTGTATCAGTGGCAAGTCATCGGGAGGCCATTGGTATTACATAGTAGAATAGGAAAAGTGCAAAACTATTCCGACGACATTCCATCTACAGTCTACTGATACAATATTGAAATAGCAGAATTGAGGCCCAGTTCATTACCCCGAACATATAAACTCACAAACTTTACCTCAATATAATAGTAGTAAAAGCAGATAAAGAGTACTTACTATGTTTGAAATCGCTACTACCAGAAATAACGATGTTTCATAGAGATTTTCAACCCCATTTTGCACCCTTAGGGGTATAATTTTTAAAAATCGTTTCTAAATGCATACCTATGTCACCGAAGGAACATTTGTGCTAAATTTCATGCTTGTAGACCCAATGGTTTCAGCTGATCAATCTGTCAGAATTTAACAATTAGAACCAGTAGTTCCTTAGATTACCCCGAACATACAAACTCACAAACTTTACCTCTTTATAATATTTTAGTAGGTATAGACAAACAATATGATTAAGGTATCAATAATGTTATTTGAAATTGTATTTTTTCATTCTAATTCAATTGTTTTACTGTTTTGAGTTGGCCTTTGCTAAATAAAGTCAGTCGCTTTTATAAGCAAAACAAAGGAGCATTTGTCTTAACCTTGGTTTAGTACTTACTAGTGTACAGCACTTATACAATAATGCATTTGAGTGTACTTTAATTCTTAGTCTTTATTTAAGTCGGACGATTTCCTATTAAGATGTTTGACTTTGTAGATGGTTCTACTTTTAAGTCTATTTCAAAGTTTTACTAGTTGGTAATTTTATTTTTGTGATGACATTAAAGCCCCATGAGCTTTTTGCGGGAATGTCCTTCTGATCCGGCGGGCATAATTCTGCATAATGAAAAATGTATGTTTATTTTATTTGCAAGGAAGTTATTAATAGCTTTAAAGAAGGTATTCTGCAACTATTAAAATATGGCAGAGTTACTTAAGTATTAAGCTGAAACTTTCAGTAGGTAAATAATGGTGCAGACATGATATAAATAATAAAATATTATTATTAATATGAATCTTTACTTAGTTTTTTCAGTAACTGTTGTTGTTACACTATATAAATGAAATTGCTGTCCATGTCTCCGAAAATTCAACGTTAAGGTCATACAATAAATGAGTCTATTGAGACTTTCGCACTTCAACATATATGCAGCTCCCTGTCCAGGATTAAAAATCGGCGCACCGTAACTTTGGCAATCAAACATAAAATACGAATTGCCTGACTTCCCAAAACCTAAATTTTTAGATGGACTAATTAATATTCCGTGGGTATATTTTTCGAAAAAATAAAGAATTGCTTTGCTCAAATTAAATCTGTCTGGATATATATTGTACACAAATCCAAATATTATTTTCTCAAATTTATAAGTAAATGAGAAGGGATACATTTCATCAAATTTAGAATCCAATTTTTCAAGTAAAATCTCTTGATTACGTTCAGAGCCCACTTTCTTTAAATAATTCTGGTGATATTTGTCACCGTTTATAACTAATCCGTCCAGGAACCCACCAGTCCAAGCGCTTAGTTCACAAGTTTCTGTCAAGCCCACAGCAAGCACAGTTGTAGCAAGATACTGTTGTCCACGATTTTCTTTATCAAATCTCTTATCTGTTGAGTGAATTGATCCCCATAAGGAAAATAAGTCGCCAGGAAATTCAATATCCCAATCTTTCCACAAAGTCTTTGGGATGTTACGCGGCAATCCTAGGCCATTTGTAGGAGACATTCGAGACCAAGGTATTAATTCAATATTTAACCAGTACATTTTTTCATTCACAGCAGGTTTGGCTCTTCTGCGTTTCAAATATGGTTCATTCGGATTTACATCCGGTTTAAAGAGTGGACTAAGCCTGTAGTTTAATGCAGAATGTCGTGGAGCAGTTTTAACGGATGTAAGCTCGAATGTATAAAACTCCGGGCTATCTGATGTTGATAGCGGTAACATTTTGCGTATTCGTTTTATGAGAAAATCCAGTGAACGGTATAGCGTCCATGTTGCTACTGCGTTGCCTTTCTTTGAAGGTTTATTAACATCGTCTTTTGCTGGCTCTTCAGCAGGTGGTGGATATGGATCAAAAAGGTGGAAAAATCCATCAGTGTGACATATTACCATACTGCAATGAGGGTATCTGATAATAACATAGCGAAGCCTTCTCATCACAGCTTTCAAATATTGTTCTAGTGTTTTCTCAGGATTTTCATTCACGACCAATATTTTTTTAATATTGACGTTGAGAAACTTTCCATCCAAAATAACATTTTTGATGACTCTTTTTTCACAAACAGCAAAATTTGTGGCTTTTTCTTTTATTTCAAGTCCTTTCTCGATGCAGGTGTCTATCATGAATTGATCCCAAGTTCTTATAGGATGCATGGCAGCCATTAACATTGCAATTAGACTAACAAAGTGGCAGGATTTAATATCTGTACTAGGCTTCCTTTCAGTAAGTGCTGTTGTACCCTCTATTCTATAAACCCCATCGACACGTTGATAACCAACTACTGGTGGAATCTTAATGAAAGCGACGCTACTCTTTCTCTTATCGGCTGGAACAATAGTTGACTTTGACTTTGATGATTTTGGTTTACGAGCCTCGTAATCGTAATCTTCTGGCAATGCTTCGCGGGGTTCCTGCAGAAGTCTTCGAACTAATATTCTACTAATTACAAATTGTTGGTCTTCGGTTTTTCCATCCTTGTTGTATAGCATCCTGTAATAAACATAGACGTTTCTTACATCATGTACAAACGAAATCAGTTTAAAAAATATTGTGACTTAATTCTCTAAAATTTAGTATTCAACGAGAAAGAACTCTATGTGCAATTGAATTCGCAAAATAATGAGATTAATGTGAACGAAGTTGTGGCAAATAATTAGTTTTTCAGCACATTTTTATATCTTACCAATGTTACATAATAAAAAATGCTGTATCAATGCGTGTCAATCTTATGTAAGAGTTTCAATAACGGAGATATAAGAACTTTTTATATGATAATGTGGTATGAAAATCTGTCCTATGAGTGTGATGTAAGAATTTTAAACGTCTAATTTATTTAATGTATTAACCCATAATACGTTAATACATCATCGTCATCAATAGCCCTTAGAAAGGAGGTTTAGGCCTACAATACCACGCTAGCGTCTGGCCAGCCTGGTATTGTAGAGACCAAAACTTTATTTCTGGTATAAGTTTGTGTGAAGTTTTCCTTCTCTTTGCAGTGCTGTTGTCCTGCGTAATTTGCTCCTTAGTCGGCTATTACAACACTCACGGGATGAATATTGGTGGTGACACTCCGTTTTAAGAATACCCCCTACTCATCCCGTCACCATATGGATATAATGATTCGTCTGCAAGTTCCGCAGGGTATTATACTGCAATATTATTATAAATCTAAATGAAATTACCTGCTCACTAGTTCATGCAATGATCTAAATCGTAAAAAGCATGCACTTCCTTTAGCTCCCTTCTTCTCAGTACGCAAGCCCATTGCATTGCAAGCGCTGCCATCAAATAAGTAATACAGGTTCGCTCTCTTAAAAAACGCACAACTGTATGTAGCCGTTGTCACCATGCCTCTATCGTAATTGTCAAAAAATTTCCGGCTCATGTACTCCTCTAGCTGCCAACTGGGTCCCTCGCCAATGACGTCGATAGTTGCGTGATACGCCTGAAGATAAGATTAAGTAAATGACAATAAAAAATATAATAATTTTAGAAAACACGGCAATAATGGTCGACAGGAGACAATGTAATAATTACTACTTTAAAGTAAGATAATTTAGTCCAAGAATACATTAGGGTTAGCAAATGATTTCTTAACCCTAATTCTTTTTCTTTTCATATTATCTTCGTTCTTTGTTGCACCCTGAAAACAATTAAATTCTCGAGGAGGGTTGAAGTCTGCGAGAGTTTAACCAAAACCTTTTGCAAAGTTAAAAATTGCAAAGATCTCAAAAATGAAATTGAGAACAGGGTAGTAAGAAAAAGACAAAGATGATGAAAATCTCTAAGTTCTCTTTGTTTGTTTCACTTGATATTCTATTTTATTAATTGTGGAAACAATTCTGTACTGTTTTATAGTGTTCCTTACAATGCCGGAGAAAAAACGACCTGAGATACACGATAGAAGCCAATCAAATGTGTGTAAAGTGCAAACTGTACCTAGGTACTAATAACCTGCGACAGCTATCGATAACAGACAAGACGAAAGATTTTTACTAAAAGTATTTTATGGGTAAACGAAGTCGGCTATGAATTATTTATTATGATAGGACTGGGGTTAAGGAGATCTAACGGCTTTGTTCATATTTTATGAGTCCTTTTTTTCAATCTCAAGTATCCTTAGTTTAGCAAAGAGGCTAACTTAAAGAGAAATAAAAATATGTAGGACATGTTAGCCTAGAACGAATTTTTGAATTTACAATTTAACTCAATTTTTGAGTCCGTAGTTCACTGGTTCATCTAGTTTCTGATTAAACAAATTTGAAAGTTTTTTTAATTCCGCAAATATAACGCTGCATATATAACGAAAAAAATATCATAATAATTATAATGGGCAATTATAACATGTAAACTGATAACGGTGATGGTAATAATTTTTTACAATAAATCATGTCGATTACCTGATGTCCAATAGCAATTTTCGGTATGATATGTACAGGAGCAAGTTGGAACTTCTGTTCCTTGTTGTCATATAACTTTTTAGCTGTATCAACGACAAAATTTACTATATTTGAATTCCAAGTGTTAATGGTGTACTTAAAAGAAGTAACTATTGCCATGATCGCTCCAAAGGGTAGTACATCTAAGGAGTCAACGGCACCAGGTGCTGCAAGGGCGCTACTCCCTCTAACTATTTGAGACCTATCAGGCAAATCTTTGAAATTACTAGGTTTGGCGAGCTCTTTGTCGATAGGGGCAGTAGTATCAATAGGCTCAGAGAGAGGAGGCGTCATTTTCTTTCGAATTTGTCTTAATTTATATCTTCTCCGCGCGTCTTCTGTAAGTAGTATGCGGCGTTCTACATTTATAGGTTCAAGTGCTTCGACTTCGCCTTCAGCATCAAGTTCGTCCATAACATCTGATGTTGGTGGTGCCAACTGAAAGTAAATAAATAAAAAAGATAACCTAGCCTGAAGGATTTATCCTTTATATTATAACTATATATATATTTATATATATCTTAATAAAACTTAGGAAATGCGTAAAATAGTAATTTTGTATTTCTAAGTATCCACTTTCTTAAGTATTCATCAAAGAAAATAATCCGTAGTCGAACGAAAAAGCTTATGTATATAACCTAAATTGTAGTTAGGTAATAGTTAAGTTTATCAATGCAGTGTTAATTTACCGGCACTTCAGCCTCGGGTTGGGGTGACGGCGGCGGTGGTGGCAGTGGCGGTGGAAGTTCCTCCGCTTTTCGGCGCGCTTCCTCTTCTTCCGCTTTCTTCCTCTCTGCTTCAGCTTTCTTGGCCGCTATGGTCTCTTCATCTTCTTCCTCCTCTACTTCTTCCTCCTTATAAAATATTATAACGGACATTTAAGCAGTTTAAAACATTATTGTCATGAGAATAGACAGTTTCAACGATTATTACCCGTGGTCCATAACATGTATGACTACATCGTGGTTTACTTAGGTGTTATACTTAGGTTAAAATTTGTCCCATTTTTTTATATTTGATTTAAGTGAAACACTTAAATCAAATATTAAAAAATGTGATATAATCCATTTTAAGTGGCTAAGGTTATAGAATGGCTGTTCCCCGTAATCTTGATTAGAAATGGTGGCACTTCGGAGCTCTAAGTATAAAATTTGGTGTATCAGGGCTGTACTGCCTCTCCCGATAATAGGCCTGCGGGTTTAGTACACAGTATTACTTTGTTGTATTACGATAATGCATCGTAAAGGTTCACCCCTATTGACGATAAGATTATGTCGGACAATGTATACGGTAGCTTCTCACTTTAACACCAGGACTAGAAATCGGTGTCAACGTAAACTATAAGCTTACCTCTTCAATTCCTCCTTCAGGTGGCTGTAAAAAATATATATTCGAAATTAGTAGTTCGTAAAAATAAGTAAACAGTATTAAAAATGTAGTATGACCTTAGAAATAACTTAGTAAGTAAACTAGCCATTAAAACGTAGTTAAGTATTTAGAAGTAATTTCTCATGTTATGCAATATTGGAACCTAAACCAACACTATTTTTCTACAATAAAATGGTTATGATACAACTTTGTTATCAATTGAAGAGAAGACTTTGCATTCAGTTGTATCTTATACTTATCTGAAAAATGTTTACTTCTTTCTACTTTTTTTCAACTAAACTGTGTTATTTAAAGGGCGGCTCCTGTGTTTATTGCATCAATTTCTTTGTTCGAATTCGATAAAACCTAGTACTCACTAAGTTTTGTAATAAATAATGAACTTTAAAAAAAGTATCACCGACTTCAATGCGACTACATCGAGATTAATAAAAAAAAAAATAGTTTTCATTCCATAATTTCCGCCTTTCGCAGTAGATTTTTTGTTCTAATAGGAATTAGACGTAACGGAAAGTATTTAATTTCAAACATTATTTTTTTTCACCACGTTTTTTTGAAGTCGGTTTGTAATCGAAAAATGTAGGGTATAATGTGGAACTCACAGTGCAGACGTAAATAAATGTTTAATAACTACTTTTGATGTTAGTGGTCCTAAAATAACCTAGGAGTAATTTCTAGTTAATATATAATTACTAGGACAGGAGGTGGTGTAGGTGGTGGAGTAGGTTCTGGGTCAGGGTCAGGCTCTGGGGGTTCATTTGTCTTGTCCCGTGGCTTTGGCCAAGGCGGCACCACTTGCGTCACCGATACCGTTGGAGAATCCAAGTTAACTGAAAGTATGTATAGTATACCATTTGAGAATAATAAAAGAGGAGATAGAAATGGTGCTATGAATTTTAACGATTTTAAACCTATCCTATCCAATCTACAAAGTCAGGAAACGTACAGTGAATGGTAAAAGAAGCCTTTGACATCAAGGCAGATGTTTTTATTAAATTACTTCAATATAAGCCCTTCGACCGCCTAGGAAACCATTCTCGAAACCAGTTTCGAGATAAGAATAGTTCTTCTTTCGATAAAAGAATAATATATCTTCTTTCGAAACTCGTTCAGTTAAAAGAATAATATTTCATCTTTCAAAACTCTTAAAAAAATATCTTGTGATGGATAAGAAACAACTTAATGTCCGCTTCCACACGATGAAAACGATATTAAATGAAAGGGATGTGTATGTATGTACCTATGTGTCTTAAGCTCTCCGCCCATAGAGTTGCGGGGCAAACTTAAATCAAATCTTAGTATTTGGCATACTCCATTAAAATGTATTTCAACATTAGGACATTGACAAATTGTCCTTATATAACTACTCGACACTTTATGACAATTATTGTAAGGAATCATTTATATAATACTAACTTATAAAAAACCTAGTTACTACTTACTACTACTCGTACTTTAACTTTAAATTCATCATTTTTTTATTTGCAATATTTTTTGGTTAAAAATGATGAAAAATGACTAAACAGAACACAATGAGTAAACAGAACATTTTCAAAAACTGCAATGTAATTAATCAAACAGCCGAAGCGCGCGGGGCGTCCCCTCCGGCAGGCCAACTTGTGCTAGTGTGCGTAGACTGTTTACACGGAATACACATGACCTTAACGTTTGACAGCTGACTGCATAAAAAGTTAACTTTTCCGGTAAATAAATCCAATGATTATCGACTCTATTATCGAGTGATGGTCTGTAAACACTATTTCAGTATTCGTTACGACGCGGCGACGTCCCTTACACCCTGTATATAACTATAATTATATTATTAACGTAGTAGGAGAAAATATAGAAGAATAATTAATATCATTGAGACATCCTTAGCGAATGAAACACAGAAATTTTACTTAAGCACAGCATTGGTACTAATTAAATAACGAGGCGACACTTTACATGATGAATCATACGAAACATTACATGATGAATCCTTCGATCAAATAAATTATTTGTTCTTAGAATGAATCATAACACAAATGTAATATCATTGAGAATAATAAAAAACTAACTCACCAACTTTAGGTTCAACCGAAGTATCAGGAACTCTATATTTCAATGGTATTGGCGGTAAATAATCTTCTTGAATACTGTCCACTAGTGATATTATATCACCCATCTGTTCTTCGTCTACTTGGGGCTGACGAAAATGGAAAAATTAATTTAAGCCCTAAATACTAAACTACTTACTTGTTGTTTTGTATATCCTATGGAGTGATTTTAGTTGTGTCAATCACTTAGAAATTTTGATTTTTAAATACTTACAGCTCCAGGTTTAGGCGTCGGCTCAAAGAGTTTGCTATCGGCTGGCACCACGTTGTGGAATGCCTCCGTACCGTCGCCGCGTTCGCCAGCCATCTCCAGAATTTTCCGCTTCGCCTTTCCAGGCAAGTTTTCGTCGCTCAGTGTACAAACAATTTGCGTCTGAATTAAGTATCAATATGTTAAGTTTCTTTGTTAAAGCAGAGTTAAAAAAATACTGTCATATTTAGACTTTTCTTAATAAAAATACACAGTAAAAAAAATACGCTTTTACAATACAAAAAGTATTTTTTTCTACAAAACGCATCATTGTTTAGTACTGCTTAGAAAACTGCCCCTAATCTCGAGCAACAGTTTGTATTATATTCAGAACTGAAATGTTTCAACTGGTTTTGAACAACAATCGACATGAAAAAATGCCAAACTCATCACTACTTCCGTATATTCAATGTTATAAATTAACATATAGCGTAATAAAAGTAGGAGAGCGGCAAAGAGTAGAACTAACAGAGCGAACTCTAAAGTCCTATTAGAAAGATATTAGTCGTAATTTGGGATGTATACCTTAGGCTGTTTCTTCTTCAGTTTCAACACCTTAAAAGCGTGAATGTTAAACTGTGTAGTGGCAGGTAAATAATCAAAGTTTTTAGTGATAACATCTGCCAATGCTTCAGGATTTAAAACCATAAAACAACACGCTTTACCAGTTTTTAAGGCTCTTAATCCATCATTAGTACGTGGGTAAGGATCAAACAAATAGTACATATCTTTTTGCCTCCAAACAGCCATCGCATAGTTATTAAATTCTAAAATTCCACTATTGTATCCACTTTTAAAAAGTTCTTGTAAACCGGTTTTTATATTCAAAAAGCATTCCTTTGTTGCAAATAATTGTCCTTTTACTCTTTCTCTATAAATAATGATCTCACACGCATACGGACCAATAAATATTTCGTTAGGAATATTGTCAATTGTTATGTCAATCACAACCTTTGGATGTGCACAATCAACGTAAAGCTTATTACCCAAGCGTAAAACTTTATCCAATGTTTTCGAAAACCATGTATTTGGTGGGGATATTTTGGCATATGTCATTGCTACAACAGCTATAGGTATTGCTTGTCTATACTTAGCATCCTCGAAGCATCTATCTCCCAAATGCATGTTTGCATTTACGATGGCACAATTTTCGGTTAAAATCCTATATCCCATCATAGCTTTTTCGGCTGCTGTCAGTTCTTTGTCAGATTCAAGATCTTCGTCCGCTTTTTCATCAATCATTTTCAAAACTTTAACAGGAGCCAAAACGAATTTTTGGTCACCGAGTATACTGCGTGCTAAAAGAATATCAGCCACGGAATTCAAATCTTTTACGTTCATGATGGCGGCTTGGCCAGAGGCAAAATTGGAATAAGCCCTTGAATCTCTGCCGGCGGGGTCAAAAATGTAATAACATACCCTGTCCTTCCATATTACTACTTTCATGATCCTGAAATAATTGTTGTTTCATAAAATGTAAACTATGATATATATTATAAAAACATATAGAAGGCGTACCTGACTTGTAAAAATGTGCATCAATAAACTAATATTATTATATATTAGGTAGCAAACTACGCAGGACAACAGCCCTGCAAAGAGAAGGAAAACTTGAGACAAACCCTATACCAACCCCTCTGGCCAGCGTGATATAGTAAGCCAAAACTTATTTTTTAAGGAGAGGCCTATGTCCAGCGGTAGACTATTAAAGGCTGTTGATGGGATTGTATATTAAGTTAAAAATTTTACGTACCTACTTCTTAGAAACAGAGTGTAGAGTTCTCAGAGACTGTACTTCAGTAATAAGTGAAATAATAACATTTTGCTCAATGTAATATACACTGCGTTTTATGGACCCCAAGTCCAGTAAAGCTCGACCATGTTCTAAAACCCGGACATCCACAGCCTTTACTAGTTCACTGCTGGACCCAGCCTATCCATAGAAAGGAGGTTTTGGCCTACTATACCACGCGGGCCAGACGGGTTGGCGCAGGGTTTGTTTCAAGTTTTCCTTCTCTTTGCAGTGCTGTTGTCCTGCGTAATGTGCTCCCTTAGTCGGCTCTAACGACACCCATGGGATGAATAGGGGTGGCGACACTCTGTATTCTTAATCCGTCACCACATGGACACTGAGCGGCAAGAGCCGGGTTCGCGGAAAAATACTTGGATAAATGATATAATACGAATTCATCACGATACGATATCGAAAAGTTTCAAAATGTTACCTAATTTTCAACATTATTAAGCCACATAGATATAGGCTAGCGTGGTATACTAGACCAAACCTATAACCTTCTAAGGAGAGGCCTATGGCAGCAGTGGACTATTAAAGGCTGTTGATGTTGATGAAGTTAGAAACTAAGTTAGGTTCTAAATCCATATTTACCTTGACATCATAACGCCAGCTCGATTTTCTTTGAAGAATGCTTTCAATCCTCTACAAAGGTTATATACCATAGGGTCCAGGGACATCGTATATCCCACAATGTCAGGTTCGCCTAGCAGAACTTGCATACGTTTGCCGTTTAACACCAGTATCTGTTTCTTTCCAAAGGGCAGTACTTCGCATATACCTTGAACTGCTGAATGGTCATGCACTTTTTCTAAGCACTGGATATACCTACAAAAATGACAGAAATATACTAAAAAGAACAGTGCGGTATACTCTTGGCTCATTTCGTATTTGTGAGTAATCAGTAGGGGGAAGTCCCTTAGTGCCGGACACATAAGGTTTTCAGGAAATAAAATTAAAACTACATCGAGAAATATGTATTTATTTATGAATTACTTAAATTAACAAAACATAAAATCAAAATCAAATAACAAAAATACAAATTCTGCGTAAACATAGTTTAGGAATGTTAAATAAGTTTTGGTAAAAAAATAAAGGACTTTGACATTGGCACCTAGTGCCGGACGGGTTAATCTTCAAACCCCAAGCACCGGACATTCTAAAACTTTTAGCATCTATCACATATGTAGGCATCTCCACATTCTGGAACGTCTGCATATGCTTCATGAGCCCATTATTGGCATCTGGAGCATTGTATCCAGTCCTCGTCGTGGTCTTCTAAACACACTACACAAGTCGTTTTTTCTATATTTGATACTTCAGTTAACGGCTCCTTTTTGTTGTCGTTATTGCCACGTTTGGTTCGTTTACTCATGGGGAATCTTCATAGCTTCAGCCAAGTCGTAAGCTAACTTCAAAAACTCGTTTTTCATCAGGAGCAGACATCTATTAGACAAATCTCTTATGTGGTCCACTAAAACTTGCTCATACTCGGGTGAGAAGGTTTTTGTGAATCTACCAACTTTTGGTTGCAACGTGACTTCTTTTCCACTGCTCAATGTCGTTATTTTATCATGTAGAGTACTTTTTGGAACATTGTAACGTGACGAAGCTGCCCTCAAACTCATTTTTTTGGACAAAATCTTGTTCATCGCAGTTTTTAAACTTTGCTGATCCCATTTTCCTTTTTTTTTTCTCTCTTGCATTTTCAAATATCTCTCTCCTTCTATCCTGTAAAACAACAAACAATCATCATTACAATAAGTACAAATGCTTCATAAAAAAGCTAACCTATAAACTGTCCGGTGGTAAGGGACACCTTTGTGTCCGAAAGTAGGGGACAGGAAACGTCCAAAATTACGTATTTCATACTAAAACTGTTTAGGTATTTAATAAAAACTTTCACAATATAATAATTATAGTGAAACACTGTCTTTATTAACAAATAACAAAAACAATTAAGGATAAAACCATAGCAGTAATACTTACTTGAAATTTACGTGACGCAACGCTTTCCCACCAAAAACAGCAATTCACCGCTTCCACCACGACTGTGCGTCTCACTGGCAAATCGCGTTGCGTGATCCTGTCTCGCTACGTTCCCCCGCACCCCTTTCACCGATTTATAAATAGATCGCGTTGACGTTTGTCAAAATAGTATGAGTGTCCGGCGCTAGGTGCCGTCCGGCGCTACGGGACTTCCCCCTACAGGTTATAAGTATTGTGCACCGGAAATAAAATAAAAATAGATAAACAGATATTTTATACATGTAAAATGCTTACTGGGCGGCCTTGACACAAAAAGCAGCAAAGAAATAAGATGAAAACGAACCAAACATCGCCAGCATCGACTAAATTATCAACAAGTTTCATGGTCCATTGCTTCGGGTGGTAATGGAAGGCTAAACAGTATGCCATTACACTCATTGTTAAAGCTTGACGACCTCTGGATCTTCCGGCTGTAATCAATAAATGTAATCAAAATAAAACAAACTATAGGTATAGTCAGAGCCGTAGTGTTGACTAACATAGACGTGGGCGAAGTCACATAAGCGAGGCCCCTTTTCAAAGTGGGTAAGTAGAGCTGCAGGTCGCGTCAGCTACCAGTTCATGCACGTACTCCTCGGTCATGGTTGCTTCGGTGCGTACCTGAATTCGATAGACGGCAATGCCTGGGCAATGGGCCTCCGACCACCATGCGTAAGAGAAATACCCCGCGTGAGTTTCTAAACGGGAGGTCCTGCTAGATCGAATCAGATGAGTTTTGTCCCCGCCAGCAATTGTATCAAAACATGGCTAGGCTACAACACATAGCTAGTGATTTAGCCAAAAGGAGGGGGAAGCCTGAGGCTTCTTCCAACATAGGACCTAGTTAAATGCAGCGTTGATCCGGGATAGAACCTAGTTAGGTCTGGCGTTGATCCAGGAGAGACCTGAAATCACATGGTCCAGGTCCTCCCAGAGTTGAACGCCTGAGGCGGACGTCGGGCGGGTTTCAGAGGAGACATTACATACTCCTAACTCCTCCAAAGCGCTGAAGATCCAAGGGGATTTTCCAAGTCGTCAACAAATAAGGCCCCTAATTAGTCCCCCCCTCCCCCGGGCCTCAAAAGTTCACGATCCGCCCTTGCTAATTTCTATTAATGCCTGACAAGTCTCTCTTGTGCTTCGTTAATCTAACGGTCGCGGTCTTTAAAGGTAGTTAGTTTTACAATAGCCTCGCAGTCACACTTAGGTAAGATGGGGCTTCTTGGGAGGCCCGAAACACTTCGTATGTAATGTGATCAAATTAATTAATGATCTGTGGTAAAGTCTGCGGGCATCGCATTTAAAGGAGCGAAGCCCCGCAAGCGCGAGGCCGTGAGCGACGACCCACTTTGCCCATGCCTAGCTACGCCACTGGGTATGGGCAATTTCGAGATATTTTTCACCTGTAAACGCCGACTTCTAATATAGACTTATTGCATGTACTGTACAGATTGTAAGAGAAATTTATTAGACGAAATACACAGGAGGACCTGCATAGGTAGGTATCACAATTTAAAAGTCAGTGGTTCAAAAGTCAGACAACAAAAAATGGATGAGGTTCTCAATGCGTTTGTTTTTCTTTTATGACTAAGTAGTATCAGCGACCTCAGTCATTTGTGAACTGATTTGGAAAAATTTATTTATACAGATTAGGAAATAGCCCGATTATTCCCAATCAAATTTGAAGAAAAAAAAATACCACGTCTAATAAGGGGAATTAACAATACAGTTTAAAACAATTCATTATGATGTAGGCGCATTGAAGTCCATAATTCTTTTTGAAACTTAATTAATACGCTCCGCGCTGAGAAGACATCATTGAATAAAATGTTTACATGTTGTTTAAGAACAATTTTCGTCATTATGCCTGTGGTGAAATGATTAGTTTACTCACTACCTGTATAACCAGTAACCTGTAAACTAAAATAATTATTTGATATCCCTATTTTAGAATTCAATACGCCGCCGTTCCACAATATAATATATGTAAACATAAGTATAACATGATAATTTTATCCTTGCAAGAGAAAATTTGTACGTTATTATAAAATGGTAGATGAGTACTAACAAGTTAAAATAATTAAAAACTTACGAAATTTCGAATCATACATATTAAAAGATCCTGTTAGAATGCCATAATGAATGTCAGGTCTTCTATCTTTTGTGCAAGGTAGAACTGTTAGAGAATGGGTTTGCAGCATGCCTTTCTTCAAACTCATTGGTATTTCTACCTGAAATATTAAGTCATAAAATATTGCTAAGAGGTAAAGGCAGTTTCAGGAAAGAGAAAAATAAGTGTTTTATTTTTACCAAAGGTAAACTGATTTTAGTTGATATTCTTAGCAGATATACATGTCATAACTACAGGTGATCCAATTCCTAATTAAGTAATAACCAAAAAGAATAGTATGGCGTCTAACTGATTACCTGCTGCCTTGTTATAAGTATGAAAATACCAGACCAAGTTAACACTCCCGTTCTAATCTACTGATAAATAATCTTTTAGTGTTAGAAATGCATTTAGGTACACAAATTTTGTATAGTATACAACTTAACTATGTAATAAAATATACTGAGCGCATAATTACATGTTGGGGTCTTGGTATTTCATCAAGGCCACATGCCGAGTCGTCATTATGCAGCTTTTTTGCACCTCGAGCTCGTGGTTTTCCGTCAGTAACACCCCGGTTTGTATAAGATGTACGGCCTCTATAGAGACATAAATAAAGAGTAAACCGCTTAAATTGAAAACCAGCCAAATGCATGTCGTACATTTAGGGTTTCGTAACAAATGTAGAATAAAACTGTGATATATGTAGATATACTTAGAAACTAAACATGATACCTTTTCTGACTCTTGAACCCCTTCCTACGTAACATTGCTCTGTATTTTCTGAAAGTGTATATAACATTAAAATTGAATTTTCGTGACAAAGAACTAAGGTATTATAAAATTTAAAAAATAAGTTTACGTAATTACGTACCGGCATTTTTTTCTATCGCAGACTTTGCGTTTTCTGAAAGAACATTAAGATATAGTAAATTCATTTTCATTAGGATATCCAATATTGCTTGCAAGCTTGTCTCACCATACTGTGCAAATATTTCTAGTGCAACTTACATAGATGTTCAAATACGTGCTGATATACTTAAAATATTTTTTGGCAAGCACATGTCTTCTGATTTTTATTTCAACAGCTTACCTCTTAGAACTGAAATGAAACAGATTTAATTGTATAGTACGTATGTAGTAGTAGTATGTTTTATTAATAATTAGAATGATAAGCCTTATGCAAAAACTTAAAGAAACAGTGTAACAACGTATTTGTGACATTTTTTCAATGCCGTCGAAAATAAATACCCCCTGTCTGCCTGGGTAAATATTTAAAAAAATGTTTTACGATGGGTTTCTCCTTACATTATTTCGTAAGTTACCTCGTACCCGTAACTTTAAGCGTGCGATCTCTTATCTTCCCACTTGCCCGTACAGAAAACGGGAACAAATACCTATACCTACTAATATTATAAATGCAAAAGTAACTGTTTGTCTGTTTTGATGCTAAACCCATAATACTCAATAATCATTGATAATGTGTCATTTGAACCATTTGAAAGTGATTTAGAGAAATATAATAGACTGTGTAGATGGACGGGAACTCGGAGAGAGACGTAGACTACTTTGAAAATAATATATATAGATTCTTTTATGAACTCCCTAGCGGATGTCAGGGTAAAATAATAATAAAAAAATTACGAATAATAATTTTAAACCTAATTGTAACAACATTCTTGTGAAAAAGCTAACGCCATGTCTGATAAATAAAAATGAAAATCGAAGATTATTATCAGGCTCAGAAAAGATAGAAGCTAGGTTGTGGTAGTAATGGTGATAGTCCTTACGTCGCTCCGTCGGCCGCTGGAACAACGTGAATATCGGGTACGAAACTTTTGTCCCTATTTACTATCAGACCACTGTGCGGTTTGAATAACCTGAAAATGGAAAATATTTTGTTAGGAAATCAGTATCTTTTTTTTCTTCTAAGTTTATATCACAAAAGATGTAGGTACTCATTATTTGTATAAAAAAACGATAAAAAAAGATGACAGAAAGAAAATGTTAAACATATTTGCTAGACGTCTTGAGACGGCACAGTTTTAATAAACTAGGGGTTTATTAATAATAAACAAGTAATCGAGCACTAACGCTTAATAAGTCCTGTTATGTGCCCAAATGTGAATACAACCTTTCGTATTAAGTATAAAAATTAGTGGTGTGTTTGTACTTTTTCACAAAAATGTAGATTACAGACAGAAGATAGATGATATTATTATGTATAAATTAAAATGTCCACAATTCTTTGTTCGTGGCTTAAGAATGGCTTAGAAACACATTTTAGACTAGGCGTTTGCTATAAAAATAATAGTTTAAAAAAAACACGCTTTAGTACCTACAAGCCGAAATAAAAAGTAGAAAATAGTTTTCTATTAAGTTGGTGGTGTTTTTTTTTTAAATGGGATTAATTCCTCCCACACAGGATCAACATCAGTGACCCACGAACACACCGAGTTATGACACTCGGAAAGTCCCAGGAAAAAAACTTAGTATTGGAACCCGCAACGAAATTAATCAGAAGAAAATAAGAGGAGTTGGAGATACAGTAAATCCACTTCCCTCCTTAGCAAAGCGGGAGACAAAATGAAATAAAATAGGCATACACCCTTTTAAACAGGGAAGCACCACGGCCACAAAATATATGGGTCCTAAGTGAAAGTCTCAAATCTCCTGTTACGTTATGCTTTTTAATAGCGTTTACTTTCCTACGAGCTTTCCGGTAACTTCTACGTAGTTCGGCTAATTTATCATTCCACCAATCACATCTACGAGTGTTAGTGGTAGATCCACGACCAATAGACACATCAGCGCAGTATGAGAAAGTTTCTGATAGTATTTCGGCGCTTTCCTTAGCTGATATAGACTACCGCGACTGAAGTCTTTGGCATGAGTTGCAAAGAGTGAACCAAACAAAGCCCAGTTTGCCTTTAGTTTTATATCTAAAATTATAGGGAGCTCTTTGCGGAGTCTATGCTACCCTTGGTATGAATTCGTACACGATCAAGCGGTGATCACTACAGGATGCGTCCGGGAGAACACGCCATCCGGATCATTTCGGCAATGAAATCTTCAACCGCACAACGTCGAACCGTGTCGGTTGAACACAACTTGCCATACCATAATGTAGATGACGCATTGACATCACAGACTGCAAGACGTAATGTAAGTGATGTAAGCGAGGATCAATAGGATGTGAATGTTGAAAATAGCAGCTCATTACGTAAACCCGAGATCACATCACATCATAGAGAGATATCTACAGATAGAGGATGTGATCTCAGCAACGGCGCAGTGCGACGTCATAAGATTACGCAAAGATGTTAACGTAAAATTAGAACTTGAAACAAATATCCGGGCCAGCGACCGGCAGTCTAGCTGTAAGCGAGCGCTCTAAACGGTCTAATTTTGATGACTTTTTTATCGTTTTGAAAATTTAACTATAATGTAGATATTAAATGCGTGGTGTGCTAGATGTCAAGTGTTGTAAATATTTAGTTGTCAGGTATTGGTAAAAGTAAAGTTATTATATTATTAAATATCTTGTAAAGAACCCTACGCTTTTTTACGAAAAAATGATCTTCTTTTTGAACTTATAGAACACAATAATCTACTTTTTAGTTTGGCTAGTACAAAAAGAATTTATTTTTGCTTTTTTTAGTCAATTATGATGATTATTTTCTCATTAAAGACTAAAAAAGTAACAAGTGAAATGTTTCAGTACATGCCTTACGTACGTACGTACGAAGCATAAGACACTACCGTATTTTTAGATATGGAAAAATCGGTTAATCCTTAAGCCCGATCAGGATAATCAGACAAACCGGTCCTTGATAAGTGTGCGAAGTTTCAATCCAATCCGATGTTTTAGAGTCCGTGAAAATCACGTTTAAAAATTCCGTTACATAGATACAATCATACCAAGCTAATAAAAACGTTTTAAAACGCTAGTAAGTATGATGATTGAACACAAAGTTTTAAAATATATCTTACTCATGTCCAGCTTTCGGAGGTAGAGGTGGTCTTATTTCACCGGGTTTCGCAATTGCTCGCTCAGCACGTATAATTTCACCACTTGTCTTAGGGCTCGGTACCTAGAACAAAACCATACACAGTATAAGAATACAGTATCAAAGCTGTGATGGTATCGACAAAAATAGTGTCTAAACGTTGGCCACTAAGTACGTTTTGCTGTCGATGTGTGCGTCAGCCGTGTTGTCGTTGTCATACAATAACTGTAACTTGTACTTTTTAGTGTCCTATTTTCTGACATTTAAACACCTACTCCATTTTAAGTGAAAAATACCTTTAACAAATAACGGAAAAATCAAAATTAAGAAAATTTTTGTCAATAATTGGTGTGCAATTGAGGATTTAAAATACCATGCATCACAGTGTCCGTTATGAAACAAACTTTTCCTATAATAATCATGAGTGTTGACATAATTTGGCGATCATACAACAGGGTTTTTACGAAAGTTACGGATATACTCGTACAAACGTAACGTAATAGATACTGATATCTAAGCTTCGCAATATAAATAATTTAAACGAGAATACACACAATCAGCGGCTTTGCGTGTGAATGTGCAGGTTGCACGTTTGCACGTTGCACATTGAAGATAATGCCCCAATAAATAATAATAGAAATATGTGTTGATAAATATTATTTACAGTAGGTATACCTACATTCAAAATAGATGTATCTGAAGATTTATGCTTAACGATGGGAACAGGTGCGGGCATCAAGATGTCACCGGGCATTAAGTCAACATATCGAACTTTTTTTTTGTATAAAGGTCGATTATCCTTCTTCATGATATTTTCATCTTCATCTTCAGAGCTTGACTGAAACTGCACACCTTTAAGCAATCGCCTGTCAAGAACCATAGACAGTGAATTATCATAAAAAAATATGTAACTAACCAATACCTAAAAAAATGATTTTAAATAAATAAACATTAATAACTACTCATTCCCCTTTCAATGAAATTAATGACATATTAAGGAAAGCTACTGAAAAACATGACTATAGTCCTACAAAAATGTACTTAGTCTCGAAAAAAAGACTTAAGTGAGAATAGAATTATTGGATTGTGAATGATTGTCTCTAACTTTCGATTTCACCTTTACCTAGACTGGGTTTGCCTTTTTACAGAACATCACCCCGTGGTCCATTCATTATTTGTCGATATCTTATCTTTATTACTTTCTTTGGTATTTCGTTAGCTGCTATATCAGTGTTTAAAGAACTACAAATGTATAAATGTACTATATTATACCTCTCCGAGATTGGTGGTTCCACAGGACAATGACCAATGTATCTTAACCTGAAAAAATAAATTTTGAGAATTTCAAACAATTATTATCTTTTTACTATCACTCCAAAGGATGGAGCAATGAGTGTCGTGAAAGATGGTTCTTTACAAACTATCATGGCTCTCATGAAGATGCTCTGCAAAAAAAAGAAGTAAAATTAACTCAGGTACTCTACGATGACGGTTTCAAGTCCTTGTCTAGCATGGTTTTCTTATAAATATATATATGTATAATTAATGTAATATATAGGTGTCATAACGGTCATATAAAGTCTCAGTGGTATTTTGATCCCCGGCCCGCTAGGCCCGGGAACGGGCCAGGTACTGCAGGCGACTCAGGCGCCGGAGGTCGCAGAACGACCTCCGTCCTCCATAAGCGCAGGCCTCCACCATAAGGTGACAGGTGAGGCCATCTGTCACCCTAGTAGAAGCAGGCCGGGATGTTGGCGAGCGCGTTGCGAAGCGCGCTCGCTTCCAGGGAGCAGAGGGAACATGGGGTTCCCACACGGGGGGGGTCGTCTACTCGTCTGTAGATGGCCCGAGGTATGTCGGGGCACCAGGGACTTCCTTGCTAGGGTATACCTGGTTCCCCGGCTATTAGTACCCGTGCGGTTTTAGTCGGTTCGAGTCTGACATGCCACCGATAGGTGGTATCCGAGGGGATTTCCGCACGGAAAAAAAAAGAAAAAGTGGTATTTTGATCTGAGTAATATTGATTTGAAAATGATTGAAATGTCTATAAAAATATGATATGTGATGATTCTTAACTATGACAAGTTAAAAACAATGCAAGAACATGCCGAAAACTTTGCCAACAAAATGCTGTGGGCTAACATAGGACCCAAGAGTGGTTCCGTTAGTACCTACCACCCCGCTCGCTATTAGGCAATAGTACAGGATCTAACGTTATATACGTGACAGTTTTGATTCATTTGAAAAGAGCAGGCCATGGCAGTGCGGCTTGAGGAGGTGGTAAGCGCGCCCCCGCCGCCCGGTTCGTCGGCGAGGAATTGGGTCCAAGTGGAGGTCTTCGCAGAAGGATGCGACCGCGTCGAAACATCTGTCACTACCGGCCATTGAGCGTATGACGGCCGGTAGCGAGAGATCCCCTCCGATGACTGCAATGAGAACCCAGCGCTGCGGCGCCCAAGCCGGGCCAATTGCCAGCGTGTGCTGAGCCGAGTACTAGTCGCAATCGAAGTGGTGACAGGCGGGACTTAATTCCCTCCTAGCGACCGAGTGCAGGTATTTTCCGAAGCAGCCGTGCCCGGAAAGGAACCTGCGCCGGCCGGAAGGAACGGGTCCCTTGCAACCTAATTCTAAATCTTATAGTTAGAAAGAAAAAACATTAAGTATCGGCTCTTTCTTTAGTTAGTTACCTAAAACGGGAAGCCGTAATACTTAGTGATAATATAGCATATGTTGCGGTTGCTTACCTAGTATGCATGGATGGTACCATTGGGACGCATGTGTCTTTGAAGTGTGGCGGTTTGAATGGTTTCATTTTAAACATAGGTGCTTTTGACACTGGTTTTTTTGTCAAACCTTCAAATAAAATGACAAATTTAACACCATATTCTACATTTATTTACCTAAAGGGAGGTTATAAAATATGGGCCTAACAATTGTATATTTTTGTTAACAGTTATAAGCTTAATACTGGTATTAATTTTATCAATCATTTTATCCATGATTTACTACTTTTCATATTCAGGCGACGCATTTAAAAAAAAATTAAGTTATTACTCAACACCATATGAAGTTAGAAAAAATCATGGTCATCATGATTGGTCTATTTTAATTGTTTAAATAATAAGCCGGCTCGACCCGGACTGATATCACAGGTATCAGTCCGGTCCTGGTCTTGACAGAAAAAGCCGGTGTTAAGTAAATTTTTCGTTGCTTTTTACCGCGTGAGTGAGGCTACTGAAACCGCTCTACCCCGGTACCGGGGCAGGGTTAATGGATTCTTGAATTTTTCTTAGGGGTAGGTAGGGGCAGGGTCCTGGGGAAGGGGATTCAAAGGACGGCAAAGCACTTGTGATTCTTGAGTTGAGGTCTCCATGGGCAGCGGTGGTCACTTGCCATCAGGGGACTCTTACCCGTTCGCCCCGTATGCCATAAAAAAGTTGACTATTATCTCATCAGATAATAGGTTATAACTTTTAGTTAGATTTTGATTCGGCTTACGTAAATTTTAATATCTTTTCAGGTAATTTTATCTAACTTATTTAAATTTCATCAAAATACTTTACTGACAGAACGATTTATTATTTGTATGCTAAAAGAATTTAGATTATACAGCACCTAATAAAGTACCTACATCTTGGTACGTCAAAGGTATAATGCTAAGATTTTAATGTAATTTAACGTCTAGAATTATTATTTTTCAAGTATAAAATTATAATAGGATAATTACGTTTGAGTATTTCTTCGGCTGTGAGAGCTTCAATAATAGTAGCCACATCTTTACAATCAGTGTCTCTGATTCTAAGTTTCTGATCTTTTGATTGGCCAGAACAACCGCATCTGCAAATAAATTCTTACATAAAAAAACACACCCATAGATAATTTATCGCTTCATTTTATTATAGGTTACCTTTTAAGTAACTATTTATATGATAAAATAAGTAAAACATGTTGGCCGAAAAAATATATTTTACTTCATTTAACATTCATAAAAATTCATTTGGTCTGAAAAAATGCGTAAGGCTTGTGAGTCGAATTGTTCCACAGATTTAAGTCTACACCATTATATTATACGTAATTCATGCCGACTACAAGTATACGAGTACTTAGTTACTAATTATTAAGTGCGTTATCATTATTGCAGAATAATGCTAAATCAAGGCAAAGCACCACCCATACGTAAACTGTAAAACATGACGCCAGACAGCGGGCACTCTTTGGTTTGAGTAATGAGCGAGTGTTACTATCCTATGCGAGTACGAGTACTAAAAGTTTTCCTTTTTTTGCTCTGGAAACTTAATAGTAGGACTACCCCTATGGACTTGGCATGAAAAAGTAAGTTATTCGACCTAGTTTAAGAAACCCAATTTATTGGTCAAACACTTCGATCAAATAAACTATTGAAGTTCAAACAAAACATTTTGGATTGCGATCTTAAGTAGTATGGAGCTAGTAAGTATGAAAGTCGGATCCTCCAGTAAACAGCTTCTTAATACCGCACTCTGTAGGTGCCTACTACCAGTTAACAACTTCCTCATGGCCAGATAATGTGTAGGAATAATCAGATCCTCAGATTATACATATATCTACGATTTTAAAGTAAAGTATTAAAGGAGCATCAAAAACAAATAGGATCCAAATTATGTACCCATCCAAGTAGCTACTATTGATTCCTGTGTCGAATCCATGTAAAAATACGTGGCCCCGTTTTTAAAATGTAAAATTAACGTTATATGCATAATACATTTTTCGATTATTTATTTGGATATTTATAGATATATTTATACAACAAATCATGTATCTACTTACCGAAATTTTTTGCCCATTTTTATATAACCTTTTCTTTTTTAATTTAAATTTATTTATTTACAAGCCAAATTATTTTGAGTACATTTTATGTTTTAGTGTCTATCATTCTGACAACGTATGACAAAAGGATAAATTCAAATTTAAGAAAAGGAAATCAAGTAGGTTTATTAATAACCTAGATACTACTTGCTTACCTAAACTCGAATCTACTGCACTACACAAATATTGTTACTTGGGAAAGTTACAAGTTTCTTTTGGTTCATTTAATGAACCTCTTTAGTGTAGGTGTATATTTATTATGGTGTACATTTTAAAGTTAGTTATAGTATTAGGCATATTTAGGATTCTGAACCAGAGATCTCCCTATGCATCCCATAGCTCTTTCATTTTTTCTGCTGAAAATGTTGCTTCGGGTTCATTCATTCATGTCATTCAGTCAGTTTAGCCAGCCAGTCTTTGGTCTGACATAGACCACTAAATGGTCAACCGCACGGAACTTCGCTTCACCCGGCAATAAAAGTACTAGTGATCACTAGTACTTCTCAATAGATAATTATCCCATACAAAGCTATCTCAATAGGTTATTGTCCCATACGAAGCATCACACACGATGACCACTCTTGACAAGATACTCTTCTTGCAAAAGTATGATGCTTTGCACCACAGAACAGTGAATAAACTAGAAATGCGATGTAGGCGGGGCAGGCGCGCCGGAGTTACGAGCAAACGTGCATAAATCTCTGAAAACATTAACATATTTGTTATACAAGAGTAGTATTATTTTATCTGTTATCAGTCAAATAAATAATTTACTTATTATTCTCGTTTTTTTTTTCGATAAATGGCAAAAGTACTACATCACTACTGTGTCGGTTCATTACCACTTCGAGAATCGCGTGAAACGCCACCTTATTTTGAAAGTTTTAAGATTGTATTTAGTACTATTATAAGTGGCATTTAGCATTTACAATCAATAAATCCCGTGGGACGAATTAGCGTAAACTTTTTATTTGTGTAAAATATTATTTATCGTTTATGCGTTCGTTTAGGTGACAACGGAACTCTTCCGATTTACCGTTGATCGCACTTCTAATGTTTATTCACTGTTCTGTGCTTTACACTAGTTATCAATAACCTATGGGGACAAGCAGAAACGTGGGTCCACGTGACTAAATATGCCTGTACTATTCATAATTCCCTGTATAGAGATGAGAACAGTATTCCATATGTGGCCGGACTTGCGCCTTATAGAGCTGAAGGCGGTGGGCAGGAGTGAAATACTGCCTCGATCTGTTTAGGACACCGAGCTTCTTCGAGGCCAAATTGACCTTACCCTCTAAGTGACCCCGAAACTGGACTTCGCTCGATATGTCGATGCCTAGGATTCCGATGCTGGCTGAGGCATTTAGGGAGGTGCTCTCAAACTGAGGTGATACGACAAATGGTATCTTTTTTGCGGTGACCGCATATACCTGTGTCTTTTTGTGGTTAAACTGGACTAGATTTAGTCGGCCCCAATCTGAAACCTCCGCTAAGGAAGTTTCAATTTCAGACACTAGTTTGTGTCGACTCTCGATGACGTTTTAACGAGAAATGTTACATTTATTTTATTTTTGTTTTATACCTACTTAATTTGTGTAGGCATAGGTATTAACTTTTTATGCGAATCTACCATTTAGCATTCCTGCTCATTCAAGTTTGCTGTCTGCAACAATAACAGATATGACAAAAATCAGCATGACCAATATAAAATTACTAGCGATCCGCCACGGCTTCGCACGGGTGCAATGTAGATACGACTTACAGTACTAATGTGGTGTCAGTGTGGAGTAATTATTTATACTATTATTATGATATTATACTACATGACATCTTGATATGCAATATTTACAACCCAGCTTCGCTCCTTTTTTTTTTTTTTCCTTTTTTTTTTATCCGTGCGGAAATCCGCTCGGATACCACCTGTCGGTGGCATGTCGGACTCGAACCGACTAAAACCGCACGCCGTCTCGGGTACTAATAGCCGGGGGACCAGGTATACCCTAGAAAGGAAGTCCCTGGTGCCCAACCCCAGCTTCGCTCCTGCCGGCCGCTGCCACCCGGGACAGACGATGTACGGCCCAACGGACGTGGCGAGGGCCGTTTTGCCCCGCATTTTAAATATCTGATACATACTAAGATATTCATTTTAATGATATGCTGTAAAAGGCAATTCGACCTACATTAAATGCACAACGTATCTAACGTAAATATTTGGATAAGAAATAATACTGTATTGATCAAAATAGCTTCGTAAATTATCTTTTTCGTATTTCTACTATTTTTTTTACTGTAATCAAACAAAGTCAAACGGATAACCTAGTAGACATTTTCGTGGTAGGATATTTCATGTATTAGCAAATGTTTTAATAGCTTAGGTTACATTGCTGCAATTCTGTAGGGATGTCTAAGTCTTTGAAAATAATAACTACTTCACACTGCAGTCTGGTACAAAACTAGGCAGGGCCTGTACTATAGTAACCACACTGCTGATAAACATAGATATATTTCTAAATCCATAATTATATATTATAGACTAACTGGTACCCGACTTAAATTCAATTTAAAATAATGAAGGTATTTTTCTATATTTTAATTAAGGAATGCATTAACTGAACATTGAATTATGGAGCACAGCCAAGTCTTCTTGCTTTTGTTCAGACCTCTTCTTGTTTCTTTTAAACTGTTCATATACTTCATCATCTGTTGGTAATTCATATCTACAGAATGGACAAGAATTTGTCTGTAAAAGAGAATTTAAATACTTATTAAGATTAAACACAGATAAAGTAAATATTAAAGTTTTATGTTAGATTTAATAAAAAATTAATATCAGTCGTTGGGACAACATGAAACATGTATAATGTTCTCTGTATCTCTATTGAATTAACTAACTAAAATTTTCGTATCAAAATATTATAAACAACTCACCGTGTTAAGCCAAATTGATATGCATGTAGTGTGGTATTGGTGGTTACAAGGCATTTCCGTTACCTTTTCACCAATGTTAAATTTCTTCAAGCAGATAGGACAGCTTTTACCATCACTTTCTATAGTGGTTTCGGGCAAGTTCTTTACAGTCTCTTTGGAAGCTGGTGGTGGTAGTCTGAAAGAAATGAAAATATGTATTTTATGGAAGCTAAAACTGTATTAGAAGCTCATATCACAGAAGAGTGGGTAGTACAGAAGGTTCCCCCATTGAACACTAAATAATTAGGTACTACTTATTTGTACTAATGTGCTCATCTTGACTGTACATGTACACATCTTGACTGTAAACATCTGAAGTATTGCATCAGGTGCCTAAGGTGATGCACAATTTTACACATATGAGTATAGTAATAATAAGCCGCTTTAAAAAGTACTTTACATAAGGTTCATGTAATATTTTGCTACATCACCATTATGCAAGGTCATTAACAAATATGTTATAACATTTTGTCATAAATAAAAATTTATGACAGAAAGTTATAACATAATCGTTAATATATTTAGAACTACATCTGACTTGAGTCAAAGGACTTGAATTCATACTTACTTTGGCCACTCTCTTGCATTAAAGTCTTCATTAAAACCAAATTCAAAGATGAATCTAGCCATGTGCAGTAAATGATCTGGTTGTTCCCCGTCCTCTAATTCTCTCCATCCCATTTCTTCAAAATATCCAGCCATTATTATAAATTATTAAACAACTACAACAATTTAAGACCATAAGTTTTGTAAATTATTAAAAGTAAACAAAAATTAAAACTCTTACAAAAAAATTGAAATTATTATTAAGAAAAGATTTTATTAAATAATTGCCCGCACTACAGTGAACATTTATAAAAACTTCACAATTTAGAAACAATTTATTTTGTTTCTGACCATGTAATCGAATCTAAATCTAAACCAGTCAGAATCAGAACTGGCAAGTCATGTCAAATCGCAGTGTTGCTATACTGAAAGTAACTAATGGACAATTTAAATTTTACATTACAGGAAAAGAGTGCTATTTAATTCAAATTAAACTATAAACACATTTTTTAATACGTGGAGTGTGTACGTGCTCAGTGCTGTTTTTCCTACAACACGGATACAAATTGATTTTATAATTATAAATATAATATATTATTAATACGGATTGTAGGTGACAAATGGATGATTAATTTTGTTATACAAGTGTTTAAATGCCTCACAGTGCCATTTTCTTTTTTCCTTCGTGTTTTCTTTTTTTTTGTTGTTCCATTCAAATTGTCTTTGTATACTCGTAAACACACTCGTACAAAGTCTCTATCTCTAACTTTTTATACGAAATCTTACCCGAGAAACGATTTTTTGTTGTACCTATACATTATCGTACAGGGTACGTGTACGTAAATACTATTTACGTACACGTACCCTGTACGATAATGTATAGGTACTACATACATACTACTACATACACGTACACGTACATACACGTACTACATACAAATGCATAGTAATTTTGGTGAACAGTAACACTGCGTTAATAGTGTTATACTCATTGCTATAATGATGAATACAAAATATATACCTTTATAGGCCGGTCATAGACATTCAACCTTGAATAAATTCCCAAGAAGCTGAATTTTTGATGTCAAATATAATGAAGCTGATACCATTATAATGAAATTGTGAAAAGTCCCCATCGATCCATTGTGTGTAATTTTTTTTTTATAAAAGGTCAAAATTCGCAAAGATGGGTTTTTGGATGGTTTTTTTTAGCGAAAAGGTTTGTTTTAAAATAAAAATAGGTTAGACAAAAATGTAGATCATGATCATCTACAAAATGGTCTTTCTTGTCACTTTTTCCCCTTAAATAGTTTACTAAAATTTACTAAAGCTGTATTAACCATAACATGCATGACTACACTACCTATGTACATCATTGGACGCATAATATTAGTAAAACTATTACAGCCTTATTAATAAACTTTTATGCGCGACGTATACCAGGGTTATAATAGGTATAAACTTTACAATCTGTATCTATAAAAGAAGAAACTGTCATACTGATTTACTGACTAATCGATCAGCGCCCAGCTGAAACTGCTGGGTATAGAAGCATGTTTTGCACATATGTTCCTTAGGTGCATTGAGTTAAAACAACACTAGAGAAGCAAACCTCATTATCACACGTCGAAAAAAGTGTAACCACTTTTGAACTTTGACGACGTAGCTTTGATACCACGAAACATTTGAAAGTAAACATATTTATGTCTCATTTACACGCGAGACAAGAACAATACCATCGCTCGGATTAGACAAAGACAAAGACATAACTTTACGATGGTGGGCCAGTGTTGACTACCGTATGAAATTTTACCCATAACAACCAAGAAACAATTTTTTTTTAAAACAATTTTGTAATAAATTAATTTAAATATTTTAAATAATATATTTCGAATTGAATGGAATAGGTATAAATAATAAAATAACTAGAAATATTTGGTTAAAAGGGTTTATATTCAGTGTAAAATCAAACTCCGCTATGAAGCATCAGTTTTGTATACAATTGTCTTTTAGACTCTTTTTTATAAGTTTGTGTGAATATTTTACTTTCATGATACAATCTTATTTTGACCTATGTATAAATAATGGCATTTAATAGTAAAAGTGAATGATCAACTTGTACTGATAATAAATAATCCCCAGGGTGTATTGCAAATTATTTTAATATTTTAAAATACAAATGAAAAAAAAATATATTTTTTATAAATATATGTGTTAAGGTCTCGGTGTTAAATAAAAGTGGACTGTATGTTGCGCTGGTTTTTAATGATCACAAGGATTACGTTGAAGGAGCAGTGATCCCGTTCGAGTATATAAGGCGAGTGCCAGTACATAATAGCTTGGTGGGAGCCGTTGCGTCCGCGCCCCCGCTTCTCGCTGCCTCCCCGTCACCCGCGCCGCCGCACGCCGTTTGCGCGGTTCAGCCGCTTGTAAGCACCGGCAAACCGTGATGTCGAGGATCGAGGTTTGATTCTCGACATATTCCCCCCAGGATGAGGAATCAAGAGTCTTGAGCTAGAAGAGGGCAAATATTATTAAAGGCTCTTCGTATGACGCCTCTCTTCGTCTTAATCTCGGCGACACGACTGATCCCATCGACACCAGGATAAACCTTGATGATCCTTCCTAGAGGCCACACTAATGGTGGAAGGGTAAAATCCTTAATGAGGACTAAGTCGTTGGGTTTAAGCTCGTTGCGTGAAGACGTAAGCCACTTCGTCCGCTGTTGAAGAGTGGAGATGTATTCCTTTCTGAAACGGACCCAAAAATGTTGTCGGATGTACTCAATCCTTTTGTAGCGGTCAATGATGGTAACATCTTTCTCCAAAACTTGTGGATGTGGATAAGTAGTGAGTGGTCGTCCTATTAAAAAGTGAGCGGGAGTAAGAGCAGTAAAGTCGAGGGGGTCTGTGGAAAGATGAGTGAGGGGACGAGAATTTAAAATAGCCTCGATTTGAGCCAAACAGGTAGCCATCTGCTCGTAGGTAAAATGAACGGCTTGTAATTGACGCCTAAGATGATACTTTGTTGAGCGGACAGCTGCCTCAGCCATTCCATTAAAATGTGGGCTGTAAGGAGGAGTGAATTTAAAATCAATGCCTTCCTGGGCCATGTCATGTTGAATATTAGATTCAAGAAGAAACCTTTGTAGATCATTGGATGCGCCAACAAAGTTCGTTCCGTTATCAGAGGAGACACTTTGTGGCTTCCCCCTCCGAGCGATGAAACGATTCAAAGCGGCTATAAATGCTTCCTTCGTAAGTTCTGTAACAAGCTCCAAATGTATAGCTTTAACAGAAAAGCATACAAAAATACACAAATAGGACTTCAAGAGCCTGCAGCCTCTACCTTTGCGGTCAGCTATCAGCACCGGTCCAGCATAGTCTACGCCACAATGCAGGAAAGGAAACTCTAAATTTGTTCTGTTAAGAGGAAGTTGGCCCATTAAGGGTTGCACTGTTTGAGCCTTAACCCTAAAACATTTCAAACAGTTATGGACTGTCACTTTAGACAAATTTCTGCCGTTCAGCGGCCAATAGATTTGACGAATATTTGATAATAGAGATTGTGGGCCTGAATGTAATAATTTAATATGGTAAGTTTGAAATATCAATTTTGTAAATTGATGTTTGCTACAAATCAAAATTGGATGTTTAACGTTATAACAGTAAGGTGAATTATCTAATCTACCACCTACACGAATGATCTGGTTTTCATCTACGAATGGTGACAAAGACAGTAATCGATTTTTTCTAGGAAGAGTCTTTCCTGCTCTTAGGATAAGAGACTCAATAGAAAACATCTCAGACTGAGCATATAGAACAATAATATTCAATGATTGTTGTAATTCTATATTGTTAAGACTATTGGTAAGCTTTTTTGATTCTTTTTTATTTTTTAAATTAAATATAAATCTTAGTATGTAAGCCACTACTCTTTGTAATTTATGAAAATTGGAATATTTATTAATAAGATAAGATATTATGTTACAGTTTTCATTATTTTTATTTGATATTTTATTTGTAGATAGACATATTTTTTCTTCGCGTACTAATTTATTCGATTTATTTGTGTTTGGCATTTGGGGCCATTGAGACGGGTCTAACAAAAGAAATTCAGGACCTCGCCACCACAACAATGAATGTTTTAATTGATCTGCTGGTAAGCCTCGCGATACAAGGTCAGCAGGATTTAATTTAGATGGCACGTATCTCCAGGTGTGGCCTAAAGTTTTTTCCTGAATTTCGTTTATACGATTACAAACGAACTGTTTATATTGGTTAGGCTGCGATGATAGCCAACCTAAAACTACAGTCGAGTCGCACCAGAAATGACTTAATTTAATATTTAATGTTAGTGCGGACACAACTTTAAAATACAGCCTTGCACCTAACAGAGCACCGCATAATTCCAGTCGCGGAATAGTGATTGGTTTTATAGGGCAACCCTATTCTTTGACGCTAGTAACTGCACATTAACGTTACCTAAACTGTCCGACGATCTAATGTATATACATGCACCGTATGCATTCTCTGAAGCGTCTGTAAAAACGTGAATGTCGATTCTTTGACAATCATTACAAACAACCCAACGAGGTATATTTAAGGTATTAAGATGGTATAATTTATTTACAAAAGCAAGCCACAAATTATTTATTTCATCAGATAATTTTTGATCCCATGAATAGTTTTTTATCCATAATTTTTGCATGACCATTTTACCTTCTACAACACATGGCCCTATCAATCCTAGTGGGTCGAAGATTTGGCCGATTATGGAAAGAATATGTCTTTTGGTTATTTTTCTATTATTGTCAATTTTTATAGAAAATGAAAAAGTATCTGCACTAGGCTCCCAATTTAATCCTAAAGTTTTTGTTTGTTCTTTAGATTTCGCATCCGTAAAATCCCTAATAGAAGAAGGCTCACACGTAGAAATAGCTTTCAATACATCAATGCTATTTGACTGCCATTTCCGAAGATTAAATTTTGCACTTAATAATGCTGAAATCACACCTTTACACAGCTTTACTGTCGCGTCGACTGTAGAACCTCCGTCTAAATAGTCATCGATATAAAAGTTGTGCTTAATCGCGTATTTAACATCATCATCATCTGTGGTAGATGCCAAACTTAATAAACATTTTGTGGCTAAGTAAGGCGCTGACGTCATGCCATACGTAAGCGTATTTAATGTATAAGTTTTTAATGGTTGAGAAGAATTGTAACGAAAAATGATTTGTTGTAAATATCGTTGATTCGGATTAATTTCTATTGCACGATACATCTTTTCAATATCTCCGGATACAACATATTTATGCTGTCGAAAGCGTAAAATGATAGAAAAAAGATCGTCTTGTATCGTCGGGCCTAACATTTGCAAGTCATTCAATGAAACTCCTGTTGTGGTGGCAGCGGAGCCATCAAACACCGTACGTAGCTTCGTAGTGGTACTCGACTCGCGAATGACGCCGTGATGAGGTAAAAAATAATTTATATTTGAACCGCTACTAGTAAACAATTTATTGTTCTCGGTCATGTGTCCCAAAGACTCGTATTCATGCATAAAAGCTATGTATTTTTCTTTGAAATTATGATCACGAGTAAATTTACGCTCTAACGCTAAAAAACGAATTTTCGCCATATGAAATGAGTCACCCAAAATAAGAGGATCACATTTCAGAGGCATGGTTACGACAAAACGACCGTCATCATTACGATAGGTGTTATCAGCAAAACTTTGTTCACAAGCTTTTTCTTCTAATGACAAAGAATGCTCGGCCTGAAGTGTATCCAATTCCCAAAAACGGGAAAGATCGGGATTAGAGTCAACCTGGGACAAAAGACAGAGGTTAGAGGAATGTGGCATCGCTGCGATATGTTTAGTGACTAACCACCCTAACTTTGACTCCCGCAATACTGGCCTATTTTTACCTAGGTCAATAGATTCTCTGCCTAATACATCCCAAAATACGTCCGCACTCAGGAGAATGTCTATACTCGAGGGAACGTTGTAAGAAGGATCGGCTAAAGAAAGACCTACTGGTAGACGCATGTTACTGGTGTCTATATATGATGATGGAATCGGTGGGGTTATTGCAGGGAAAACAACACAGTTTATATCTACCCTATAGTCACTACAAAGGGATTTAATTGTGATGTTACAAGTTTGCGTGCTAGTGGTTAAATAGTTATTAAAACCCGATACCGCCGTAGTCACGCTGCGTAGTGGCAATTGCAACATATCAGCGCGGGATTGCGATATAAGATTAATCGCGCTGCCATTGTCCAGCAATACTCTGGCGTTGTGTTCTTTGTTGTTGCCATCAATCACTCGTACGACCGCTGTGGATAGAAACACACGAGAAGCAGTAGTGTCTGTGATAGTATCACTAGTTAGTATGACGCCCTCACTGTGAGACTTGGAAGAACCAAGGATAGCATCGGTACGTTCGAGGTGTAACAAAGTACTATGTTTATATTTGCAGTATTTACAGTGAGTCAAGTTACATTTATTACTCGTATGGCCAGGACGTAGGCAATTTAAACAAACTTTGTACTGCTTAGCTTTGTCTATGCGAGCTTCTACAGTAAGTGCCCTAAAAGATTCACAATTAAATAAGTAATGTGACTGATCGCACATGGGACATTGTACGGAACTGGTTTTACAATTATTATTTTCATTTAATTTGGATTTAAACTTGTTGTTTATGTTGTAAGAGATTGAACGGTTATCGTGGTCATCCAAACTTTCTAATAAATCAGCCCTATTTCTTAAAAAGGAAAGGAAGATGTCTAAGGTTGGACTATCACTCATCTTGTTTCTATGTTCTTCCCAGTGACGCAGGGTAATTTTATCTAATTTAGAAGACATCATAAAAACAATTAAAGTGTCCCAGTACTGAGTAGGCTGATTTAATGTAGTAAGTGCTCTAATATTCTTAGTAGTAGTGTCAATAAGGTAACGGATAGACTTACAGGATTCTTTATGTAAAGGTTCAATGCTAAATAATGCCTGTACATGGTTGTTAACGAGTAAACGATTATTATCGTAACGCTCCAATAATAAATCCCACGCAATTTTATAGTTGTCACTTGAAACATGAATATGTTTAATAATTAAGGCCGCGCTCCCATGAAGAGAAGCGCGTAGGTAATAAAATTTGTTTACGTTATCTATGTTTTTATTGTTATGGATAATTGATGTAAAAGTATCCCTAAACTCAAGCCAGTGCTGATAGCTACCGCTGAAATGAGGTAAATCTATTTTAGGTAACCTAACGTGGCAAATCTTGGAATCGTCACCTGATATAGCATCATTGAAGCTTGCTACAGATTCACGACGTTTATTCGAAGAGAGAAGGCAGCGCGCACACGCTACTAATGCGAAATATTCATTCTCGAAATGCTCACGCTCGGAGATGGACTCGTCTTCCTCACCGCTGGACTCATCACAAAGTGCCTCGATCTCATCCTGTAACGTATCGAATTCGCAATTTAAATTTTCAATTTTGCTTAAACGGCATTCCAACTCAGCAGTTTGCAGTTCACTAAGGCTTTTACAGCTTTTAAGGATATTAAGATGTTTGTTGAAGGTAGTAAGCTTTGATTTTAAGGCAGATCTTTTCTTAATTAATGTTTTAATATGATCAGGCATGATGAAAGGCCGTGGAAAAGATTTATAAACTAATAAAACGATTAACTTATAGTTATTTAGTAAGCAAATATGTTTAAAAATAAAATGAATAAGATGAACTATTAAAATAAAGGGTATTTATGAAGACTCGTAATAAAATAATACAAAGAATAGCTGTCCGCTAACAAAAGCCACGTGCGTAGCCGGCGTAACAAACCGGTTTTGCAAATGCGACGATGAATATATAAGCGAAACAACGATGTTAAATTTAATACTATTTATATTTATCTGTAACGTAAAATGTGTTTGATTTCTAATGAAACTTTAACAATGCTAAAAACTTTATGTTAAGTTTAAGATGGCTGCGATGGCTGGCTCAACTTGGCTATTTGAAGCAAGGCAGGAAAGAGATTTAACAAATATGTGGAAAAAGAGATAAGCAGGAGTAAAAAGGAAAATGGAACGAACTCACAGAATGTCTTATCCAACCACTATATTCTTCTCTTCGTCTTCGTCTTTCAAATGTCCTCTGTCGTTGAAAAGGCCAACACGACTCGAAAAAGAGGGTCGAAGTCCGCTCGTCCACCGTATTTCTACTTGAAAACACTATCGCGAAGGACCAAATTGTTAAGGTCTCGGTGTTAAATAAAAGTGGACTGTATGTTGCGCTGGTTTTTAATGATCACAAGGATTACGTTGAAGGAGCAGTGATCCCGTTCGAGTATATAAGGCGAGTGCCAGTACATAATAGCTTGGTGGGAGCCGTTGCGTCCGCGCCCCCGCTTCTCGCTGCCTCCCCGTCACCCGCGCCGCCGCACGCCGTTTGCGCGGTTCAGCCGCTTGTAAGCACCGGCAAACCGTGATGTCGAGGATCGAGGTTTGATTCTCGACAATATGTATGTATATTTTTTTTTGTTTTTTAAATTTATTTACTTTTTTATTATATATATATATATTTTGTACAATTGTTATTTATATTTGATAATTAATTAAGAAAAATGAATGAACGAATGAATTAATTCTTTTATACAAAAGTCTCCAGCACTGCGAGCTTGGCAGAAGGTGAACGTTCAACGGGTCCCTAAAAAAAGTGATCGATTCAGCCCTAACATCTACCGTTCTTCCTATATTTTATTATTATTGACAAAATGTTTAAAAACGGTATAAAGCATATTATTTCATAAATTATAAATTCTCCCACTAAGTGGGAAAACAAAAATGATTTTTTAATGGTAACACTGATTCTAAATTACAATTATCAATGTTTTATTTCAATTATAGCCTTATTTACGATATTATCAATACAAAAACCATAAACTTACACGTGATAAGTAATTCCGCATGATTTATTATGGTTTTGTGACCTTGAATCGCATTCTTTCACTACGCATTTACCCATTTTGGCGATTGTTACTGTCATGTGTCGCTATGTTCAACTCGGTTGACGCCACATTGAACACTGAATTGACGTTTGCTACGCATATGCCTGTGGACATATGTGCAGTAGCAACGATTTTAGGCGGTAATTACTCATCTATGTAAGTATTATATCAATGCTTAGGTGACGTAGGTGTGCACTAAGAAAATATTTTTAACCATTCCACACCTTATGGTGTAAAATGGGCGTTGGCTATTTATATTAAACTTCATCATTTTTGGTAGTAGCGTTTTCTAACTCACAGTAAATTCTGTTTATTAAAAGTATTAATAAACGCTTTTACTAATTTTTCAAAAGTACCCTTAAAAAGGGGTGCAAATTTTTATGGAGTATATTCCTATAATTTTAATTCATTGTATCCTCTACGATTTCGACCACCACGCGAACGAAATCGCGTGAAAAAGCTAGTAAAACAATATTTGATGTGTGTAATCGTCTGGTGTATTATATAGAACACTCCTCGTACGAGAGCACGTATAAGTGAATCAGCTTTTAGTCTCAAAAGTTATTGCTTTATTTGTAAAGAAACGAGTACAGAAATTTCGACGTCGAATTTTTAAAGATTCAACACATACACAAGTACACTTTCATTTAAAGAATATTTGAATATATATGTGCTTGAATGTTTAATCTCTAACAGAAGCAGGTCCTTACATCAACGACGAAACAACTGATGTATCGCTATAAGAACAATTTACTTGGTTTACTTACTTGTTTCAGATACTGGTACGCAAGACGGCGTGCGGTTTTGTTGGTTCGAGTCCGACCTAACCACCACGGTGGTATACACGGAGATCCCAGAGAAAAAAAGTAGTCTGTATATAAGATAAAAATATGATTGATTATAGAATACATAATTTATTTAAAACAGAAATGACTTAAGTTTTGAACAATTTTTTTATTAAGCAATTAAAACGGGATTTGCAAAAATTCCGTTAAGGCCCAACTAGATGATACGAAGTTAGTAGATGGTAGGCCTGATTTGTATCACTTACCTTAGTTAGTTACTACGAAGTTTTCTCACAGAATAGTGAATAAACGTTTATTCACAGTTCTGTAGGTTTTCAAGTACTTACCGGGAGAAAAATTGCATACAACCTTTTAATTTAAGAACACACGACAGGCACGGCCAATATAAGATTTTCACTGGTAGTACCTACGTAGTAAAACAACTAGGTACCTAATTACCGTTATATTTAAAAAATATTTTAGATTTATAGTAGGATTTTGATCGCGCATATTGTCTAGTCCTTAATCTTATTATATTTTTATTGTCGTCTATTATACCATATTATTAACTTATGCAACTGTATTCTATATCTACGAAATATAATTTATAATGAAAATATTATGATATTACATAAGGCCAAACCCTCCTTTCTAAGGAGAGGCTTATGTCCAGCAGTGGACTAGTAATGGCTGTTGATGATAATGATGATGATATTATAATATAGAATGGAATATGAAGTAATTTAAGTTGACCATCTGAACCTTAACTTCAATTGAGTATTTATTAAAATAATATTTTTCCACAGCTTTTGAACCAGTTATTGTCTCTGTTACGTGTAATAAGTGGGTTATATTTTAATTTTAAATAAATGTATCTGACATATAGAAGCAAAATATGCATTAAACATTTTAAGCTATTGCATAGCTTCTATCGAGGGCCTTGAGCGCGGGTACCGAATCCAGAAATTCTGTAACGAAAAAAAACCTCACGCTAAAAACAAAACAAAAAACTGTACCAAAATCAAATGCTGAACGCATTGATATTTTTTGTATATCAATGGCTGAACGTCAAAGGAAATTTCGTCAACATAATGCAGAAAAATCTTACATGGATATGTAATTTGATTTAATAATAATATTTTTTATTTATTTATTTAAAAACGAATTGTAATATATGCTTCAATATTTTTATTTAATAAAAGAAAAAAAATTGTTTTCTTATCGGTCACCACGCTCAAAAAGTGTAACTTGAATTAATATCAAAGAAAAAGAAATACTGCATAAATAAAAAAATAAATAATTATAATTGCATAAGTTGATGCAAAATGCTATGCAATAGCTTTACCGCGGCAGTCCCCGAGTGCCACACGTCTTTTTTTGTTAGTTTAATGTCTTCTTTGCGTGGTATAATATAATAATAATAATATGTCATATATTTTACTACATTCACACAACGCCATCTAGTCCCAAACTAAGCAGAGCTTGTACTATGGCTACTAGACAACTGATATAAGTACATATATACTTTTTTTTTTGTAAATACATACATCATATACATAGAAACACCCAGACCAAATCAAACATTAAATGTTCATGCACAAAAATGTTTGAGCGGCAATCGGCGGAATAAGGCATTCATATCATACTTGAGTCAACATTCCATCACCCAGATAAGGGCACCTACTCACAAACAGTTACTCACTGACGATGTGAAACTCGTATTGAGTAACTTACTCACACTACGAGTTTCACATCGTCAGTTTAATAGTACAGAGTGACAAGAGTGGTCGCTTCGTAAGTTATTTAGTAATTTGTGTTACGCGCGCTACTTTAGAGTAAACCGGTAAGAATATTTATATGTAATTCACCATTCGTGTTGTTTCCTAACACGCTATCAAGGTCGTATCTGAGTCTTTAATTAGCCATATTATAGTGGCCGCGACAAGGTTTCACAATAGTGTTTTGATGATGTCATTTAGAAAATGTTCTTAATATTAGACCTAATTTTATCTTAATGACTCAGTAAGGTAATTTTTTTTTCTTTACTTGTCCTGTTCACTATTCTATCTAATAATTATAATTAATCAATATTTTAAGACAAAACGTTTGAAATACCTACAAATCATTATCTATGGAAAAATATTAATGTACAGTGGCGAAGAAATATGTAGGTCATCCTTAAATACGATAAGGAGGAGATATAGGTACTTATAATAAAATATTACAATATGTTAAAAGAATTAATAGTTAATTAGTAATATCTGACACATTTCTTTTATAAATACTTACTACAAATCTTAAGAGAAAAGTTTTTTATGACATTGTGAGTGGGAGAGAGACTGTTGATGAGTTTGCATTTGGTTCACTTCACTCTTCTAGCCGTTGACATGTTATAGGCTAGACGAGATAATGTCGCCAAATCTTCCATTATGATTCTGCATTACGCACGAAATTTTTACTGTAAACATGTTGAAATGTAAAGATTAGCTATCTGCTCGACTCACAAATATTCAGAAATATGAGCAGTTTAGGTGCGTAACCCTTGGACAGTACTTTAAAAAGCATCACCTTTACACAGTATTAAGTAAATAGAGTAACTTTTTTGTGTTGTACGCTTAGATCTTTTAAACTAAGCAACAGATTTTAATCTATCGATATCGATTGTATCGTTAGACGGTATCTAAATATAGTAAGTAGGTACGATCAGCACATCATTCTTACACCATTCATAAACATACATTCTACTTGACCTTATCCAAGTCATTAAATTAATATCTACTACTAGACTAATGAAGCAACATGAATTTGAAATCGCTACAAATAAATTCATTTAATATAACATTATGTGCAATGATGTACTTAATAGTTTACTGTTAAACGATTAGCGAGGATTATTGATTTCTTCAAAATTCATGCACTGCAAATAGGTAGGCAAATGAGATAAGATTAAAAAAATTCTTTTTATTGATATGCTTACTTGTTCTCATAAAACCAATAATTCTTTGAAAATACGAGTACTAATGCTTTCTGACTTAGATAAAGTTTCAAAGAATCGAAACCTTTTTGGAATTGAATTGAAACAAGGTGCTTGTCACCTTGTTTTTTATTCAGTTTCACAACACTACACATTTTGTGATTGCCATAGTTATAGCTTTACAAATCATATTAGGTTGTGCAAACTTCACCCATCCTGTCACCGGAAGGAGTACGCATCTCGAGCGACTTTCTGTCGATTAATTTGGAGAGTATTCTCTGTTCTAAGGTTGACAAGGTTGGTTAAAAACACACGGTGTATTGTTCCGTGTGGTTCTATTGCAACAGTAAAGAGATAAGGCACCGTAGCTTGTACAGTCAATTGGTACAATCAATAAAGAAAGTCTCTGTCTGATCTTGACCGCTTCGTCTTGGATAACTAGATAGATTAAGTCATAAAGTAAGAAAAAACTCCAACATAATTCTAGCAATTTCACTCCACTTTTTTCTGTACTTCTACACTACTAATCTATGTAGTACTTACTTTTGGAGTTTATACAATTTGTCGCCATTTACACTACACACCCATCCAGAGGTAGATATTAGTTAGTACGGATATAGATAAGAAAGTGTCATTAAGGATTTTCTTTAATATACCTCATTTAAAGAGAAATAAAATCTCGTCAAAAATATAACATACAAAACCTCAAGTCGTCAGATCAATTTTTAATAAATTTGTTACCTGACAACATTTAAAAAGAACCGTGTCAATATTAAAAATCTTCATTTCTGTATTAGTAGGAAACTTACACCCGAAAATATCTAACTACTAACATGTAAGTCAGTCAGAAAAATCTTTACATAATGTTATTTTAAGAAAATAATGCTATAACTCTTCTAATTTCTCATGTTTATAATACACATAGTTTTAATTATATATTTAATATTACATTTAGAAAAAGAGTCTTCGAACTCAAGGAGGCTATGATTAGACGACAAATGTGTTAAATTGTTGGAAATACATTTAGTACCATTATAGAAAGATATATTTAAACAAGTTCAGAGAAAAGAAGACCAAGTAATTCTATTCTATATTTTATAGGTACAAAAGATTAAAATACTCTGATGAAACTAGTTCTTGATTTTTTTTAAACAAAGGACCATTTTTCTTAAAAATTATGTACATCGGTGCACAATCACCCAAACACTGACAAACACTGTCTCAGACTGCGAGGTGAGCACTCGATACGGTGCATCATTCATATTGCCACGTACTAGTATGTCCTTCCTTTTTGTTTCTACTTTTGATCTATGATTTTCCCTGATAAGCAAGTGAACTGATACTTTTATAAAATTCTAATAAGTTATAGAGAAGTACCTACTCACCTACATTATTAACGATTTAAAATTTCGATGCCCAATTTATAATTAAGGTGTTATTAGTTGCCGGAGTTAGCTAAACGAACTAGCCAGAAGTTTTTAAAGATATACGTAAATTGAGTCTAATAAAGCAACAGCAATTTCAATGCCATTTTAAAGTTTCTTAACGTGGCTCATTGTCAACTTAGTTACATCACTAAACAAAACAAGGACGTATCTCGCAGATAGCTCATGTAGCTATTTATAAAGTTAAAGTGAATAATTGAAGTCTTTCCAGATATACATAAATTTTATTTACGAATTTAATCTACATCTAATATGAAAAATAATATAAACGTCAAATTTTACCCAACGTAGCTAATAAAAGCTGTCACAATCAAGAAAACTAAAAAAAAAAGCTGTAAAAGCTACTATTACATAGGAAACAACAATCAGCCATATCAAAACTCAACCTAGGCTTGAAAGAAGAAACTTCATATTATACCTTTAATCTGAACTCACTTCCCATGATGCCGAAACGAACGAATAAGGCATACATGAAAATACGTAGGATAGGAATCAGACTACCACCGCACGCGAAATCGTAAATCAAAATTCAAGATGGATAATAAAAGCTTTCTTCTATACAAATCGGCAGGTCTGGTTATACTTTTTTAGGCATATTAAGATAATGTGCAACGACTAAGATAACTGGAAGGCAGTTTAAATAGTCTTCATTATTAATTCCGATAAAGGAGATTACAATGGACCAAGATCATTCGTATCTATACCCTATATCGCTCTTACTAGACGCATTAGAGAAACGAATAGACAGCGAAATTAGTTAGCCACCCCCAACACGCCGTCTTAAGCCATGCCGGGGCCCTTAGGCACACAAAAATATAGGGCCCTGTTGGACAGTGAAACAAAATGAATGAATAAATATTGTTAGCTATTTATTTTTTGTCTATTATTTTTTGAAAATATTCCTCTATGTATTCGCTTTTCGGAGCCGCCGTGACGATGGGGGCCTTGGGCACGGTCCCCGTGTGCCCTTATGGTAAAGACGGTACTGGCCACGCCTTGCATCTCAAGCAACCATTTTCATACACAGAAATAAAGAGCAATCTACCAATATAGTTAGAATAATAAAGGATGCAGGAATAATGTATAATACTGTTACGTACCACCGTGACACAATAGAATTCTAAAATTTGTAACTGGCAACCTAATTTTTTTTTTTTTTTTTTTTTAAGAACTCCCGCACTAGGAATAAATCCTGTGTCGCGGGGGACTTTACAAACATACATGAAACGGACACAAAGTACACCCAGACTCAGAACAACAATTTGTGGATCACACAAAGTGTTGGTCCATGTGGGGTTTGAACCCACAACACTCGGCGTAATAGAAAGCGGCGTGGCGACCGCTTTAACCACTACGCCATCCGTGCAGTCTAATTAGACATAAGGAGCAATTTAATTGCTTAATACTTTAATATTATTTTAAACCTGAAGTTTTAAATACACTACAGAATGTAGTAACACGTTAGTAAAACTAAATGATGAGATTGTTGGTTTTAAAGATTAGATTAATAAAAATCCTTTAACATAAGTAGTATATACTACTTTATACAATTATAGTCATAGATGCCATATTATAAAAGCATTTAAGAGGTATAATATGGTAAAGATACCCATTTTTTTGTACTAGAAGTATCGATCCAATGGTCATCCAGCAGCTGGATGTCTCATAGTACCTATATCAAACTCAAAGTCTCTTTATTTCATAAAAAAAATTAATCGTTTGAAATCGTCTTTTATGTAGACTCTAGTCATGGATCAACACACGCAATAGCAACAATCTCTGTTTTGTCAAATATTAAGCAAATAAATGTACCTAATAAAAACTTAACTTTAACAAAATCTATGATATGCCTGTGTCGATCTACAACCGCCCGTTTCCCAGGGATTGAGCCTTATAAGAAGAAAGGGCAAACAAATTAATGGCCACTCTTCTGTAATTCACAGATGGATACAATGGCATTATTATCCAGTGTGCGTAGTGCCAGTATGTCCGTTATTTAAAGGACTAAGTAAAAGGTAAAAAGACAATGAAGTTAAAAAAAAACATGATTAAGAAAAAAAACGAATAAAAGAGAAAATGAAGTGAAACATGAAAAATAGAAAAATAAAATAATAAAAAACACACTAGCCCACACCACATTTTTACTTAAGAAATAGCCTGCGCTAATTAATCCCAAGCATTTTTATCTTCTATTTAATCCACAATCGAGTAATAGGCCCTCTAGTACAAGCCACATTGTATTGCGGATTTAAATTTGTTAATACTTAAATCTTGAATATTCTTTGGGATTTTATTATAAAATCGGACACATTGACCTCGAAAAGACTTGTTTATCTTTTGGAGCCTAGAGGCGGTTACTACAAGTTTACTTCTATTTCTGCTATTTATAGAATGTACATCACTATGTTCAATCATTATGTTTATTTCTTTAAATTTCTACCTCAATGAACAGCGATATATATAACATGATATATAGGGAATATGAATGATGTGCCATATGTAAATAAAGTACCTATATATAAATACGGCACATCTATCATGATGACCTCTGATTTAAAAATAATAAAATACTACTAAGTATAGAATACAGTATAGATAGAACATTATAGAACTACTGTATATAGCGATCGAGATAGGCGATCGAGACCAATGGAGAGGCTTGTGCGGTTAGCTTGGACATAGCGAAGGCCTGGATCGGGTCTGGGATAAGGCGCTTCTCTTGAAGCTCCCTTCCTATGGGCTTTCTGAGAAATTATACTCGCTGCCCCAATATTCCTCGGGAAAACGTCACCGAGAGTCGAATCAAACTCTTGTATGAAATTGAAACTGCCTTAGCAGTTTTAAGTTGGGTCGACTAAATCTAGTCCATTTTAACCCTAAAGACAAAGGTCTGCGCGTTCACCGCAAAAAAGATACCGTTTGCCGTACTACGCCGGTTTGAGAGCACCCTAACTGCCTCAGCCAGTATCGGAATCCTAGGCATCGACATATCGAGCGAAGTTTAGTTTCGGGGTTCACTTAGAAATTAAGGTCAAATAAGCCTCGAAAAAGCTCGGTGTGTTGAACAGATCGAGGCAGTGTTTCACTCCGACCCACCTCCAACTCTATAAGGCGCAAGTCCGGCCGTATATGACGGGCCTGTTGGTCTAGTGGTTAGTGACCCTGACTGCTAAACCGGAGGTTCGATTCGAGGAGGGTTCGATTCCCGCCCAGGAGAAATATTGTGTGATGAGCACGGTCATTTGTTCTGTGTCTGGGTGTAATTTATCTATGATATGTGTGTATTTAAAAATATATAAGTATGTTTATCAGCAGTCTGGTTACTATTGTATAGGCTCTGACTAGTTTGGGATCAGACGGTCGTGTGTGAGATGTGTGATATATATATATGGAATACTGTTCTCATCTCTATGCAGGGTACCCAGTACCAGCTTCTCCCTCTGGACCGCATCATCTCTATCGTATATATCATGGAGAGTGCACTGGTGGCACTCCACCACTGTACTCTTTTCAAGACACTTTTTGCCTCGCACAACCAATCTGTGGAATAAGTTCTCGTCCGCGGTATTTCCGTACCGATCCGACCTTCAACTCTTCAAGAAACGAGCGCACTCCTTCCTCGTGACTCCTGAATGTTGGTCGATGTTGATGGTCGGCGATATTAACTTTCCGTTAGGTGATCTGTCTGCTCGTTTGCCCTCTCTCCCATAAAAATAACTGATATTGATTTTACATCGACTACAAAAGAGGAGGAGTTTCTCAATTCCATTACGTACATTTTTTATGTTTATTGCCTCAGAACCCCGTTATGAACCGTCATTAAAATCTTGAACAAAAATACCATGTAGACAGAATGGTGGAAAACTAAGGAATGAAGAAAACGGTTTATTGCATATTCATCATAATTGATATCGTCATCATCAAAGTCGGTGATACTTTTGCAAAAGCAAATGCATTTAAAAATTTGACCACATTACTACGAACAATTAGTAATTCTTTTGTTACCTACATGCTAGCTTTTAGCCCGCGGCTCCGCCGGGTATATGTCGGTTATTGCGTAAAAAGTAGCCTATGTTACTCGCTGATAATGTAGCTTTCTATTATTGAAAGAATTTATAAAATATAATTTATAAAAAAAAAACTCACTTTTACCTTCATAATGTAAGTATGGATAATAAAAAGCATTTATTTTTGCAAAAGAATTATAATAAATAAGTATATCTTGATCAAAGAAATTGCTAATAGGAAGGATACCTCAGTAAGGATACTGAGGTATCCTTCCTATTAGCAATTTCTTCAGTTCATTGGAAAAGTTCATTTGGACAAGTTCATTGCAATAGACCTCTATTGTAAAGAACTTTTCCAAATTTGATAGACTAGGTACATCCCTTTAAAGGTCCGCTTAAATACACTGAAATAGCTTAACTGTAGGCAGATCTAAGTCTATATTTTCTAATTGTACCATGATTATTCAAGACGAGTGGGACTTGAAATTATTAAAGACCAAAATCATGCATTAGGTTGTAAATGGCGCTATTATCGAAGTTGCGCATAAATATGTCTACTTTGGCCAAACTATCTAACTATTCGAAGAATTCGTCTAAGGGGTGGTGGTGGCGTATGGAAAGCAACTCATATCATCGAGTCATAAATCCCGCAATCGTTTAAACCCAAGGCCAATACCGCGATTAGGCAAACGAAGTGTAAGGTGCCCGGTGCCACGATCGACCGACGACTCAAGGCTCATTGGGGAAACCTTCGTACAGCAGTGGGCGGCGAATGGCGATCCCCTACTGACGAATCGTATAATTTTCTTAATTAGTATACAACTAAATAAATACATATTTATAAGGCAGTCCATTTTCATCAAAAATCCAAGTTCATGTGTTAGTGGACCCCAGTCATCGACTGGAATCTGGATTAGGTAAATGAATACGCAGAATTAAACAAAGTTCTAGCCACGAACAATGAGCATGAAGTAAAAGAATTAAAATTTTGTTCCTTTGATTTAAAAAGAAAGTTTAAGGGGGCCACGACATTCTTCCCCCAACATTGTCATATGATACTTCGTTGATACTAATTAAGTTGAGTTCAGTGTGATTTACATCTATCCACATTAATATTCACTTTATATTAGTAACATAAAATAAACAATGCTATTTTAATCGAATCGCACCCATCGTGGAAAGATCTTGCTAAGATTTTGATTTCATAAGATCTTATTACAATGGGAAGGCAGTAAATCTTAAGTAACTGAGGCCCAAGTGTTAGTTTACGAGTATTTCACATCTACTCGCTCTCAACGGTGAGCGCGTTTACTCGTAGCGTGGCGATTGTTGGAGATTTCAGTGCGGGCCAATCGCGACGCCAAACGCGGTCACCGCACCGTGACGAACGAGTTGATATGAAATAAACTCGCACTTGGGCCTTTTCGGGCTTAATGTTAGTTTATTTCACATCAACTCGTTCTCGATTGCGAGCACGTTCGGTGTTGCGATTGGTGAGGTTTTTTGTGCGGGCAAATACGCCGAACGCATCACCCCGTGACGATCGAGTTGATGTGAAATAAATTCACACTAAGCCCACTGATGTGCGGACGGATGTGTCATATTTGTGAGGCACAATTCCGTCATTTTACCACTATTTTTTTTACTATAGGTAATATTACGTGCCACACAATATAATACGGGTTATTTTTCTAATTTTTTCAAAGTGACTGAATAAAATAAACGTGAATTTAAAGTAACCCCTGTTTAAATTTACGTTTATTCTTCAGATGTTTCTTTTTTTTAATTATTACGTTTTATTTCAGAACATGGGGAATGTGGTTTTTTCGATTATTTGGCTAATTATCCTAATCTTCGTGGGCTTCTGGATAGCTGGCATAGCTGCTGGTTTATATATCATTCTTATACCTTTCTCCGTGTGTATAGAACCGTTAACAGTAAGTATAAGCCATGGTTATATGACACTTAACGCACGCCAGCAATACCGTTCTGACTTAAGCTCTCGTTTGCCCCATATGTCATAAACAAAATGAAAATTGGTACTTTGGATGATTTGGATCACTGAATTGAAAAATAATGTACCCACTCCACGACGACGACATTCCAACCAACCACCAACGCCAACGATATTCCACACAGTTTAAGATAGACATTTCGAGTAAAACAATCACACTGTATTTTTTACCCACTGTATTTTGCCTCACCTACCACCCCTCTGTTCTGCGACCCCCCCCCCCTCCCCCTCTGTATATACCTGAACATTGTAACAGCCTTTAAGCAAACTGGTAAGCAAAGTGGAAGCTGGTATTCTATGCCACTAAGAAACAATGTATCTTTGCCGAAAATGAACACGTGAAGAGAACACTCATAATTTTTTTTTTTCACAGGGTCTAACGGATTTCTTACTAAAAGTGGTACAGTTTCCGAGAACCTGTGCAGAAAGGATGATGTCAGGAAGTGGATTTAATTAGTATTAGCTATTATATTCTAAATTTTAAATACCGTTTAAGTACCTTTTATAGTATTTATACTAATATTATTCTAGTCAAAATAATATAATGGTATAGGTACTAATCTCTAAGTATAAACTAGAGATGCTCCGATTATTGGTGTAGTAGGTATTCGTCAAATTAAAATAATGTATTCTGTACCTACATTGATTAATTCATAACCGACTATAAGTTTTTAAAGGAAACCTTTCACATTTCTCATAACACAAGTATTCTTGTTAGCCCTTCAGTTACTTAATGCTCAAAAATAGGTTCACGTCGAATATTCGTTTGTAAAAGAGCCAAACTATATGATTTTCGATATTCCGTTAAATCACTATTCGGGGCATTACTAGTTTACACTAAGCATCAAAAATGTTGACTGCGTGCCATTTCCAATGTATGGAAAGCGTAACATTAATTTTTTACTGAAAATAGAGATGAATCAATAACTCTTAAAGTACATAAACCAACAATAACTCTAAAGTACATAAACCACCTACCTACTCGTACCAATTTGCATACGTGTGATCCACTTGTCATTGTGAAACGGTGTGTTTATTTAATAGTGCGGATTAAATTAACATAAATACGTAACATTTGAGTAATGCGGTTTTATTACGTTCTTTTGAACGTTATGGCGACCCCCCGTTTGCGCGGTCAGTAATTTAGTGACCGTAACACAACTCTTACATTACATACTTAATCAATCTCTTATGGTACTTTACACTTTTAAACCGATTTTAGGCAGTATTTGAAAGACTGTAGTAGGTACCTACTGTAATGAATTATAAAGATGACTAAGATAATCTATAATTAAAGTCGGTAGGAAAAGACATGAGTGTGTTTTTTCTTTCTTTTACTATTAGAATATTACACAGTCACAATCAGACTACATACATTTGAAGATCAAAAGCTAGACTACATTTGATGAGGTAATAGACTTTGCTGCAGGCATCATAGTTTTAGCAATAAAGGCAGCACAAGATGGTGCTAACAACTCATATGTTTTATTGAAGTTTCGTTTTCAATGTGTCTGGGTTCGGACTGTACAAACTTTAGGGGGTGATAGAAATCCACATGCTGTTAGAACATCAACATTTCAGCATGAATTTTCTGTTAATGTGTGGGCAGCTATGATCGATGATCATTTGATTGGCCCCATCGTACTCCCAAGAAATTTAAATGGCCCAAGATTTTTAGAGTTTCTGACCAATTAATTTTCTGAAGCGTTATTAGAATTACCATTGTCATATCGGCGACGCATGTGGCTTCAGTTAGATGGAGCTCCTCCACACTTTGCCCAAGCGGTAAGGGCACACCTAGACCAATATCATCCATAGTGGATTGGCCGCGGCGGTCCTGTAGCCTGGCCACCGCGTTCACCATACTTAACGCCACTGGACTTTTATCTCTGGGGTTGGATGAAACAGAAAGTTTATTTTGAGCCAGTCAACACCAGAAAAGAGTTGCTGGAGCGTATTCGCGTTGCTGCTGCCGAAATTAAAGATAATCCGAACCAGTTGAGACGGTCAACACAGCAGGTAGCGATCCGAGGTACTGCGTGCCTTCAAAGTGGTGGGGGACATTTTGAACAATTATTGTAAATGTACATTTGTTATTAAATAATTAATACTTGTTATTTTGATTATCTTTGCTAATCACTGTAAATATCTAAAGAAAAACCAAATCGTTATGAATTCACTACATGCACAAGCCTATGTTCCAACAACAGTATTTTTAAAACCAATTGTCATAGAATCGAGTTTTTGGTATCATTATTTAGGTAAGCTTACCATCTGTGAGACACGTGCATAATAAGAGATAGTTCACAGAGGTATTTTTTGTAATAGCCCTGAAATACTAAAAAACAATGTTAATTTTAACGTAAAGTTAATCTTTTAGCATTCATTTTAATATGATACAGCAATTATTAAAATTATTTGAGTTATTTATCTGATTGCTAATACTTTTCCACTATGGGAAGTTTTTGTTTTACGATAATCGGACATTAAACTCCAAAGTTACATAACTTTTACTATGGACGCTACGAAAAAGTCAATCAAAATACAAAAATGGCTGCCATTCAGAGGCCGTTGGGTTTAGACCCCACCTGAGAATGATTTTAGTGATAAAATAGAGCAAACTATCACCCCCTAAAGTTTGTACAGTCCGAACCCAGACACATTGTATATTCGAAGCCTAATGTTGGTATGTATCTACAACTTAAGGTTTATGATCCGAACACGGAAATATATTAGGGATTAAATATAACGACTACCTACCAAAAAATACAAATAGTATGGTAATTGCGGCGGTCGTTGCGGATTCATAATGCTCCAACATTTTGTCAGCCATTGCAGCTAGGACTTCTAATGAAGATTCTTTGTTGAGGGCTAGCACGCCGCGTATCTATGTAGGTAATTGATTTAGCCATATTACTTGTAACGTTTCATCTATTAGGAGCTTCCCGCTATTTTATGTAATAATGAGCTAGGTTCTGAATAGCCGAGTTCTAAACCGCTGAGTAGCTTCTGTAACTGGCGATGGTATGATCTTGGTACGTGGATATTAATCTGTTCTGCAATGTGATGTATTTATCAGCGGGTAGATTTAACATAATATCGGCGATTTGTTCAAGCTTATCGCAGCCGAGGAGTGGGACGACTAGATTCAATTTTTGTTGTTCCCCGATCTTGCTGGCGCCGGCGGGTTCAAATTACGCGAACCATTTTTTTTTCTTCTCTCTATTTAGGCGATGTCCGGCACAAGCGGACGTTACCTCCTCGTGGTTGGCTGTTATGGCGGGTAGAAGGGAAAACCCATCCCGTCCACCCGCGGACACATTCAGGGCGGCCATACTCTAGCTAGTGTTTTATTGCAAGAATGGTTGTAGACGTGCAGTCAGAGAGATAGTGGCTACGTCGCACTTGATTGTAACTCCCTGGGCATCGCTAACTTTTATGTTCTCTTCGCTCGTAATGGTAGTTGGTATTCACGCGAACCGTTGTAGTAGATAGATACGTGTCGCGTTGTCGTCTGTGACGACTAGGTACGTCGTTACGCGTCAGCTGAGCGGTAAGTATGTTCTCGCGGTTAGTTGAGCAACGTGGCACGTCGTCAAGTAATACGTGTTGACCTTTGGTTCGGGGTCACCAATTTCGTGGCAGTATATTGGGTTACTGCTTCTAAGGTTATATAATACTTTCCCTAATAATTATGCTGATGATGTAAGTACTAAGAAATTGGTAGGTCGGTTCGAGTCCGACATGCCACCGATAGGTAGTATCCGAGGGGATTTCCTCACGAAAAAAAAAAAAAAAGCTGAGTAGCTGTTGAACCGTAGCGTAGTAACAGGGGGAAAAGTATTTTGGCCGCCCGGCTGATCGATCAGCCGTTGATCCGTAGCCTAATACTCAGGAAGAGAGGATAATTTGGATCACTGTATAAACTTCATATGTACCTATCTCCTAATGTTTCCTGTAACATGTAATGGCGGTAATCTGTAAGCGTGCCTTTTAAAAGTAAATAAATAACTACTACGCAACCCACGCCTTTTAGAAATAAGTAGATAAATAAATGAAACACCTCGGTTCCTTCCGTGTGGAAGAAGGGAAGAGGGATTTATTTATCAACTTAGCCTATATTTATACTATTTATACATATAAGAAATGATTACGACCAATCAGTAGCTCTGTCAAAGGCGCTAAAATATTTCGGCCAATCCATAGATAATAGTTTCGCCTAATCACGTAGCTCCATTCCGAGGCGCCAAAATGGCTTCGACCAATTGTGCAGCTCCGTTCACGGCGCCAAAATCCGTCTGAAGGTGAAGCCTCGTCGCCGGCGAGCCAAAAGATCTCAGCTAGAAATGTGACGATCTGGAATTTTGACAAACCGAGTTGAATCGGACCCAAACCGAACCTTTGAAATTGCAGTAAACCGCGGTTTGAACCGTATCATGAGTTGACCATCGAATGTAACATAAGAAAATGATGTGCAAAATAATTCGATGGGATCGATTAAACCATCGTTTTACAGTTTGTGAACCGTTGGCAACCAAGATTACATCTTGTATGTAAACTTATTAAACTTGTATGTAACCTCGTTAAACTTTTTTTTTTGTTTTTTGTTTATGGCAAACTGTGCCGATGTTGACAATTCTGCCAAAGTCTAGTGTGTGATGAAGGTGCGTGTGTTTGTAGAGCCGTAGAGGGACAAAAAATAACCTCTGAAGGACATCACTGCACTGAATGTGATCTAGCGTTACCGATACTAGACGACGACCGACGCGGATGAATCGATTGGTAGTTTGTTGAGAGCTGAGGGGAATACAATAAACTACCCAACTAACACGATCACCTACCAAGCCTTTTTTTCCTCATTTGGCGATACATATTCTCTGCCGTGACACATCGACCGGTCGATAAAACAGGCGCCGCCAACGCGACAGAACAACGCGCGATCTTATGACTTACGGCTGAACTGGTTTAAACCACGGGCTAACCGAGTCAACTCGGTTTGTGCTCAAACCGGTTTAAATCGGTTAGAAAAGTAGGTGTTCGCTAGGTGTCCTAGTTTTTGAGATGTAAGCGTGGCCGACCTGGGAAGATTGTCCCTAGGTCCGATTCATCTAGAAACGCTTATAACTTTTGAACCAGTTACCTACCGACAAATTCTGATATTTGGTGACAAATTTCGATTAGTTAGCGACAAAAATAAGGTGAAAACAGAACTTCGTTAGGTGCCCTAGTTTTGGAGATTTAAGCGTGGCCAAGCTGGGGAGCCGCTTATTCTGATATTTAGCATAAATTTCGACTAATTACCGACTAAGTTTTTCTGTTATCAAAATTAAAATCTATGATGGTGGCCAAGTCAGTGACATGTCGATTTCAGCTTTTATCATACTTCTGATTGGGTTATAACTCTCGATTGGGTTCGAGTTAATGCAACAATATTGGTTTAATAAAGTTTTTTTTCTT